AACCTTCCCTATTTTCTTATGGCAGGAAAGATACTTCCAAGTAGCTGGATCTCATTCTTGACTTCTTCCTCTCCCTCTCCCCCATACTCTACATTCAGCCAGTCACCAAAATAGTTTCCAGCAATATCTTCTTCTTTCTTCCCCTGACTGCCATTGACCTGGTCTTACCCCCATCATCCCTCACATGGCTATTGCACCGGGTTCCTCACACTCTGGTCCTGTAGTGTGGCCACCCAGCAGCAACAGTGGCCCATTAAAATGTTCACAGAATCTTGTTACCCTGGTGCTTAAAACTACCAGTGGCATCTCACTGTTATTAGAGTAAATACCAAAACAGTTACCACAGCCATCAAGATCCTGTGTGGCCTGGCCCTGCCACTTCTCTACCTCATCCCCATATCCTGCTCCTCATTCATTCTACTCCAGCTCTATAGGCCTCCTCTCTGCTCCTGAAATTGCCAGGATATTTGGTGCCTTGGGGCCACCATCTCCTCTGCCCCCACTGCCTGGAGGGCTGTTCCTCACATCCTTTACTTCCTGAATGCTGTGTCAAATTGCTATGTAAATGCCACATCCATCCTGGGGACAGATTTTTCCAAGGCACCACCATCCTCTTTACATCAGGTATCCCCTTCTACTTATTCTTGACTTTTCCCAACTTGGGATTATGTACTTATTTGGTGGCTTTTAAAAATGGTTTCTTGGGCCAGGGATTTAGCTCAGTGGTTTTGCCACCTGGTGTGCAAGTGCAAGGACCCGAGTTTGATCCTCGATACCAAAAACAAAACAAAACAAAACAAAAAAATGGTTTCTTGGGCTGGGGATTTAGCTCACTGGTTCCACCACCTGCCTCACAAGCACAAGCACAAGGTTCCGAGTTCATTTCCAGTACCAAAAAAAAAAAAAAATGGTTTCTTCCTCCAAAAGACTAAGCTGTATGCTACTGAAAATATTTCTTTGTTTTGCTTTCAACCCCTGTGTACTCTGAGCCTAGCAATGTCGTGACATATAGTAACATATACTGGATACTTGTTGAGTGATGGAGTATCAGGGTATTTTATCCACTCCCGTCTTCCCCTCAGGCTGTGAGCTCCTTGTGGGCAGTTTCAGGTCTAATTCATCTCTGGGTTGTCAGATCCCAGCACATGAACCTTGCTGAATTTTTTTTTTTTTTTTTTTTGGTACCGGGATCGAACTTGGGTCCTTGTGCTTGCACAGCAGGCAGCAAAACCACTGAGCTAAATCCCCAGCCCCTTGCTGAATATTAAGAAACAGACTCCAAGAGCTGTGGGAATGGGGCTTGGGGCTGTGGGGCATTCCAGTACTTCTCAGTGGGCAGAGTTGGGGTATTTCTGATGTCTGTGGGCAGAGAGTGGTGATTCCTGCTGTTCAGTGGATAAGAGGGAGCATTCCAAAGCTCTTAAGAGAAGGACAAAGCAGGTGAGAGAGAGAGAGAAGGAGCTGTGAGAAAGGCAGACCTGGGTTGAAATCTTGACTCCACCATTCACATTCTGTGTGACTTGAGAAAAGTAACTAGCTCTTGAGCTTCAACTCATCAATAAAATGGGGATGATTAACAAATCTTACCTCCTCAGACAATTGTGAGGATTTAGAAATAACATAATGTTTTAAAAAACAAAACAGACATTGATGCTGCCACTGTTGCTGATATTGATGATAATGACAAAGGAGAAGAAATATTTTAAGTCCCTAGATGCAGTATGCTCCTAAACACAAATCTGACTTGGAGCTATTGGTCAAGTAATCCTGAGGGAACACCAGGCCCAGGGGATAAGGCAGCACATAAACAGGAAATAGGCTTGAGCCCAGAAATCTGGACAGTAAGAGGCGGGCAAGCAGTGCCCAGGGTGGGCATGCTGAGGATAGCCACGGTTATATTTGAGGGCCCTGGGGAACTGCATGGCCAGCAGCAGGCCTGGCCACACATCCCTTTGTGGGTTTGTCTGCTGTCCTGACCATCTTGACTTCCTACCTGTTTAGGCCCCTAAAACAGATTTCTCTGCATCCCCACACCCTGGTTGCTGCCCCTGGCCTGGGCTCTGCTGAAGGCCAGTGTGCTTAGATGCAGAAAGGATGTCAGGCAGAGGGAAATTAATGTTAATGAGTCTCAGGGCCAAGTTCATCTCGTAGCCCAGCCGTGGACTTGCAATGTGGTCTGAAACTCAGTCTCTCACCAGGATAGGGGTCTGAGAGGCCTCTCTGAGATCCCACTTGCTACAAGCCTACTGATGAGGGCAGCACCCATGGGGAAAGACCCCTTGAGACCAGCACAGAGCAGGGATGAGTCTGGGTGCTGAGTGGAGAGACTGCTAACATAACAGGAGTCCAGAGAGAGAATAGGGAACTGAGCCACAGTAAGGGTCCCCCAGGGTGCCAGGAGGAAGAGGCCACAGCAGGGGCCCCCTGAGGGGTGAAGAATCTCACTCTGCTGTCCCCGGTGGGCCAGCTGCTCCCCCCCCAACTCCCCGGCGGGCCCCCAGGGGACCTCGCTCTAATAATGTATTTGATCGACTCGCCGGCCGCGTACAAGCGATTATTGTCTTGTCGGGAGTCAAACGTATCGATCCAGCGAGAAATATGAGCGGAGCAATGGGGCCCGCGTGTCAGTTACCAGCCCCGCTGGCCCTGGGGAGCCCCCTACGTCTCCTTTAATTACCGCTCAGCCCTGAGCCCAGCCCGGCCTTCCCTGTGCCACCTCCCTGCAGGCTCCCTGCACCTTGAGTAGCCCCCACTGCTCCCCAGTGCCTGTGCCCTACCTGCCTCACTCAGAAAGGCTGGACGCCTCTACTCTGGCAGGGAGCCCACCATCTCCCCTGGCTGGGCCTCCTCATTCCCGGCTGTCAGGTCCTACCCACCTGGTGTCTTCTGGGGCCTACTCACCCTCCTTCAAGATGCCCTCTCCTGAGCCTAGGGACTCAGCTCTGGTCCGAGACACTAATAGTGGAGCCAGTGTGGGAGGTGTTAAGAGGTGGGGTGATTTTACCCTTCAGGGCCTCACGTAAGGCCTTCCCAGTTGGGGACTAACCCCAGACCTGCGAGGGCAGCACTGGAAGTAGGCAGACCTTCTCTCCTTGTTTGCCTTAAGGGGCTGACCTGGAGTCACGTACACAGTGCGTTCCTGATATGAATGATGTTAAGTATGTCTGGGTGGAACATGAAGGTGGCCTGTGGCCTCCCCTATAAGGTCTTCTGACCCCCATTTATAAGTCCCCCAAACATAAATCCTAAATAAAAACAGTTTGTTGGACAAGTGCAGCTTCAACACAAGGCTCCAGTACCCCCTGATACCAGACTGCTTTCTGGAAGGCCATCATGGATAGAAACCCTGCAGCCAGCGGCCATGTGGTCTGTGGACGTCCTCTGTGAAATAGCCTTTACTATATAGGATGTCGTGGAGTGTAGATGCCTGGAAACTGTCCCCTCTACAGATGTGAGAACTGCGGTCATTCCTGTCATACCCTTCTGTCTGCCCGGCAGTGTCTGGGTGCACAGGTCCATGTAGTTCCGGCTGGGCGTCACATCTTTTGCGGGTGTGCACAAGTGTGAGTGAGGTACACTTGGCCGGACCTGACCCGCCTGTACGTGTAGATGTGGCCTTGTGCTCATGGGTCCACGAGTAGGGAGGTGGTGGTGTATGTGTACGGGAGTGACCACGATCGCGAGGAAGGGCTGGCACTTGCACACAGAGCTGTCAGTGAGTTTGTGAGGAGTGCTGGGGTCCGTGTGTAGAAATACTTGAGTGTTCGTGTGTGTTCGTGTGTGTGTGTGTGTGTGTGTGTGTCTGAGTGAGTCAGGCACGTGTGGTTTGGGGGCGCTCCAGAGTAGGGCGCAGCGTGTCCTGCGGTGCCCCAGGCGATCAGAGGGGCAGTTTGGAGGCTCCAGGCGGCTTCACAGCGTCGGACCTTGGCCGCGGAGAGGAGGACGAGGGCAGCAGTCTCTGGCGCGCCTTTGTCTGCGCCTCGGTGCGCCTGGAGTCCTAAGCCTTTGTGTGACCCTCCCAGGTGTGCGCGCCGGGGCGGGGGCAGGATGGGGGGCGGGAGAGGAGCGGAGGGAGGGGCTCCCTCCTCCGCAGCTGCCCCGCCCTCCGGCCCATTGGCTGGGCACTGGCGCCCTCTGGCGGGCGCAGAGGGAGGCACCGGACCGGGAGAACCGCAGCGAGAAGGGGAAACCCGCAGGCAAGCAGCCAGGCAATCCGGTGCCTCCCTCCACCGGAGCTGCCTTGGGCCCCCGCATTTGCCTGGTGACAGACTTCTTGCCATCCCCGGCCAAGGCCTCGACCCATCACCCGTACTGCCATTGTCCATGTCACTGTTTCCTCCCAGGATGGCCCCAGACGCCTTACCTTTGGACAGGTGCAGGGATTGGTCATCTCCACCACGTCCTACTTTGGAGCTTCACTGTTTCTTGGCCCTTGAGAAAACTGCCTCTCACCTCTGTGATCCTCAGTCTTTTCGTCTGTAAAATGGGGCAAATAACAGTGCCCATCTCTCCAGATGACACCTATCAAGTATGAGGTGCAGGGCCAGGCATTGAGAAAGCCCTCCGCCAATAAACTCCCAGCTAGTGTTTAACTGTTTTGTTTTGTTTTTTGGTACTGGGGATTGAACTCGGGTCCTTGCGCTTGCACAGCAGGCGTCTAAACCACTGAGCTAAATCCCCGGCCCTTTAACTGTTACTGTTATTGCTATGGGCTCACTTCTCCCCCAGAGCCTCATGCTCTGTTCCACATGTGTTTGCCCCATGGGAGTGGAAGAGCTGGGGCATCACTTGGCATGGCGGCTGCAGAAGTCAGCTCTTCCAGCTCACTTGCTTTCCACTTCACTAACTCCCACCCCTCAAACACACACACATGATTTGGGGTTGGCTAGCTGCTGGGGCGGGTCTGTGAGCCAGGGTATTTTCCCTTCCGAAGGGGGGCGGACCAGCCCTGTGGTTTCCTCCCTGGGTGACTTCCGGTAGGGAGTGCTGGCCCCCAGAGAGGGTGGGGAGATGACACAGTTGTTCCCCCAGCCCTGTTGGGGCGGGCAGCATGGTTCACTCCAGCATGGGGGCTCCAGGTAAGGGGGCTGTGCCCTGACAGGGAGGACAAGCAATACATTTGGGCTTGTTTTGCTGGCCACCTCTGCCGGCTTTCACTGTCCTTTCTCCTCAGCTGTCTCTCTGTCCTTTTGCTCTGTACTCCAGCAACTCCCCTCTTTCTATGCTGGGTCTCCACTCCCCGGCTCCTCTCTTTGCTCTCACCTTTCATATCAGGTACAAGGTGCTTCCAACCTCCTCTCCCATGTCCACTGCCCTGCTCTGAGGGCAGGCAGGGAGGAATGGAGCCAGGTATTGACAGTGGGGCTTTCTATGGAGAACCTGTGGGGTGGGTCATGTGGGTGATCCTTGGGAGGGGGCTGTGGAGGGATTGGAAGGCTAAGGTGCTGGACTTGGGTGGTGTCCTCCTTTTGAATGTGCATGTGTGCATCTGTGTAGAGGTGTGCGTATCTGCATGCATACATGTGTGTGTAGTAGCTGAGTCCTCTGAGTGTGCTGTTGTGTGCCTGTGTAGGAGCTGATGTAAGGGGCTTCTGTGTGTGCCATTGTAGAGCTCGCCTTGGCAGTGATCTCTGGCCTCACCTCATTCGCCTTGGCTGTCACTTCACTAGGGAGGCCTTCCCTGGTCTCCCTGTGTAAACTAACGCTAATCCCACCCTCGGGTCCCCTCACCTTTTCTTCATGGCATTTACCACCAGCTGAGGTCTCCTTGTATGTTTGTGTGCCTTTTTTTTTTTTAAGTTAAGATTATTTTTTTTCCATTAAGTTTATTGGTACATTTTAGGTATAAAATACAGTTACATTCATCATGGGGATCTTGTACCATTACATGAGTATCTTGGTTGTTTGTGTGCCTTTTAAATGCCTCCCCCACTGAATGTCAGTTGACTGAGTGGATACTGCGTACCAGGCACTGTACATGGTGATTTATATTTGTTGGCTTATTGAGTAAAATGTGTGTATCTCTGCACAGCAAGAGTTGTCACTTGGCAAAGTCTATGGGAGCATTAAATGAGGTGATATGTGTAATGTACTTAGCACAGTGCCTGAAACATGGCAAGTACTCGATCCTTCCTGATTGTTTCATTTGTGGTGGTATAGGCATGACTGTGGGTATGTGTCATGTTTCTGGCTGTCCATTGACATGAATCTTGGCTTGTGTGTGCCCTCCTATGTGCATCAGTGTGTATGGGCAACAGTGCAGTCCTTCATCAGCATAGATTTGTTGAGCGGTTCTGGGGTGGGTTTTAGAAATACAACTGAAAAAGGCAGCTTCAGTGAAGTCAGACCTGTCACCAGTGATTGCATCGAGTGGCCAGGGCTGGGATGAGAGAGGCACGGGAGAGGTGTCAGGGCCAGGATGAGGAGGCACAGAGGATTATGGGAGCCCAGCAGATATCCAATTAGCTAGTGTGGTATCCAGGGAGGCTCTTCAGAGGAGGAGATGTCTAAGTTGGGAAGTGGAGGATGAGTAGCTGTGAGAAAGGAAGGCACAGGAGGCTGGGAGGTGGGAGGGAAGGAAGATTATAGGAAGACGTGTGTTTACTTGTTGACCAACTGTGTGTATGTGTGTGTGCGTGTACAGTGGGAACATGTGGTCCAGGGTGTCTGAAATGCATGGTATCTGCTCCATCACTGACTGTTCCCAGCTAGGGTCTCGTGGGGACCTTGCCAGTGCTGGGCAATAACTCTTTAATTGAGATTTCTCATGAAACACCCTACTTGGGAGGACTGGCCCAGGTTTTCCCTACCTGGACATGAATCAACACATTGTGAAGACATGAATTAACACCTTTGACTTTCGGCAGATCTCTTGCCATGCCTCATCTCAGGCTCCACATCTATGAACTGGCTCAGGGGTCTTCAGTGATCATCTCCCAGAGTGAAGTGATTCTGGGTTTGTGCATATGTACATATTTGGGTATAAGTGTGTGAGTGCGTGTGTGTATCTGTGTGTGACTTTGGGTATGTGTTTGCACATCTGTGGATGACGGGGTACAGATGTGCAAATGCATATTTGCCTGTACACAACTGAGTATATGTTTTATGGACCTGTCCATGGCATCACATCAGGGCATGTATCTTTGCCTGCAGACCTGTGAACATTTCTGTCTTGGGTCTGTGCACACCTGTGTCATGCATGTGGGCCCCTTTGTTTGTGGCCCTGGTGTGTGCTATGTGGCAGCACTTGCCTGTTGTCAGCACAGCTGTGGGCCACCTTTCTTGTTGTGTCTGCTGCCTGCATCTCCAGCCCTCCCTCTTGACAGCACAAAAGTGCTCACTCCCCTGAGGCCACCCAGGGGCAGCTGTGGGTCGGGCGGTGGTGAGGTGCTGCTCCTAGGGAGGCTGGAGGCTGGGCCAACTCAATGCACAGAGGTTCCCGGCAGCACTAACCCTGCCCACAGGGGCTCCTAGGCCATCACCTTGCTCAAGGCGGGCTGTAGAGACAGAGGACCCAGGGGACAGGCCAAGTGAGGCCACGAAGGGTGAGGGGCAGTCCTTGGGCCCTCTATATTTAGCCCCGTTTTCGGTAAGTGCTAACGAGAAGCTGGCCCTAAGTCTGCTAAAAGTGGCTTGGGGAAATGAGGAGGAGAAGTGAAAGTCCGGGAGGGAGGGGCAGGGAGGACCGAGGGGACCTGAAGGCCCAGGCCTGAGGCAGTGAGGCAAATAAGGGTGAGCTCAGGACCTGGGCAGCCCTTGGTGGATCTGCCCCAAAGATGGTGGGATTCAAGGGGAATCACAGCTGAAAGGGGCTGGTAGGTTATGCACTGATGTTCCCTGCCAGTTCCTCTAAAATGTTACACACTGTCTGGAATGGTGGGGAGGGGATAACCATAAATAACCAACCAAATTTTCTATTTGAATGAGGCTTTGAGGGGGGCTTTGGAGGTGCCAGGGTGCTGGAGCACATTAAAATCCCCTGGGCAGGGGCTTTTAAAGCCTGGAGGCCCAGGTCGCACTCTATGCCATTGAAACCAGTGTCAGTGGGACTGGCGCCAACATTCTGTACAGTCAGGGGCTGGGCACGGGGTGAAGCAAAACCTTTTTTGGGAGGTGTGGGAGATGAGACAGGGTCTCACTTTGTGTGCACACTGGCCTTGGACTCCCTGTGATCCTACTGCCTCAGGGCCCCCCCCCCCCCAGCTGGGATTATAGGCGTGCACCACCACACCTGGCCTTGAAGCAGAAGATGGTCTCTCCAAATCCTCAGTCGCTGATGGCCTTAAATCCTTATCAAGGCAACAATGGGCTTTTGTTACATGGTGAAAATGGAGTCCCTATTCATCCTTGGTGGGAATGACTTGACTCTCCTCGGACTGGGCCCTGATAGAGGAGCAAAAAGAGCAAGAAAGCCTAGGCCAAGGGCAGCACTGTAGCATTTTGCTGTGGCCCAGCTAAGTGCTGGACAGAGAGTACTGGGGCTTTGTAGGAGTGGCCTGGGAGATTTAGGGAGAGTAAGGGGAACAGAACAGTGAACATTTTCCCATGGACCACTTTTATCTCCAGTTACCATTTTTGTGGAGGGACCTAGTTTGGTGTGGTGGCACACATGCCATCCCGAGGCAGGACAAAATTAGAGAACAGCCTGGGTAAATTTATTTATTTATTTATTTATTTATTTATTTATTTATTTATGAGTCAGGCTGGTCTTGAACTCATTACATAGCCCAGGCTGGCCTCAAACTCAAGGCAATCCTCCTGTCTCAGCCTCCCAAGTGCAGGGATTACAGGTGTGCTCCACCACGCCTGGCTCAGCTTGGACAATTTAGTGTCTCAAAATAAAATTAAAAGGGCTGAAGATGTAGCTCAGTGTTAGAGTGCTTGCTTGCCTAGCATGTTTGAACCCCTGGTATCAATCCCTAGGGACTGAGTACCACCAAAAAAACCCACCAAAAAACTCCCAAGAAACCAATAATGTTTATCGCAGAAGTTGCCTTAGGGATGGGGGTGGAGGTTTGAGGTATCCGAGAGATAGCGGAGATAAGGGCTTGCTTTGGATATTATCAGGGAATCCTCTCATGCATATTCATTTTAAAGTCACAGCTGAGCCCTAGGCAGTGATCCTGTCCCCACCTCAAGGAGCCCACAGTCAAGATAGGGACAGGATTGCTGCCCAGATGGACAGGGTGTGATGGGGTATGCAAGAGAGACAGTGACCACCTGGTGGGAGGTCAGGCAGGACTTTGCGGAGGAGGGGATATGTGAGCTGCTCCTTGAAGTGGGGGAGCAGGAGTTGCCGGTAGAGCAGGAAAGGGTCCCTGTGGGGAGCTGCAGAGGGAACCGCCTGGAGGGGGCGTCAGAGCCTGGGCCCCTGGCGGTCATTGGCCCCCATGTCCTCTGCTGGGAGTGCTGAGACCCCGAGGTCAGAGCTGCCCTTGAGGAGCTCTTGTCTGACTGGAGAGACGTGCAGGGACCCAGAAAGCCACAAACTCCAGGACAGTGACGGGGGCCTGCTGGGGTGAGGACAGCCAGGGCAGAGGGACTGGGGAGAGACGCTTGGCTGGGGACTGGGGCATCAGGCTGGTGGCTTCACTGAGTACGGAGCTCATGCTGGATCCTGAGGATGGACTGGAGCGGCAGGTGGACAGGGGAGGACAGCGTTCCAGATGGGGGCCACACACACCAGCATCTCAGAAAATGTTTGCTAGATGGTGGGGAGACACAGGATGGACAGACACAAGTAAGGGGCAGCAAGAGTGGCAGGGAGGGCTGTTCAGCAAACGTTTATGACCTGTTCTTGGCTGGTGAGGCGGGGAACCCAGGGATTAAGTCCGACCAGGCCTGTCCCCCCTGGTCTGGTGGCCAAGGAACCTGGACACAGATGCCACATCCCTGGGAGCTCGGGGCTGGGACAGTGGGGTGGTGGAAGGCTGAATTAGTTTGCTAGGGCTGTTATAATGAAGTACTACAGATGAGGAGGCTGAAACAACAGAAATTTCTTTTCTTTCTTTTTTTTTTTTGGTATTGGGAATCGAACTCAGGACCTTGTGCCTGCCAGGCAGGCGGCGGAACCACTGAGCTAAATCCCTGGCCCCAGATATTTATTTTCTTACAACTCTGGAGAATAGAGGTTAGGACTTCCGGGAAGATGGCAGAGTGGTAAACAACTCGGGAGGTTACAAGTCAGAGATTGGGTATTGGCAAGGTCGGTTTCACCTGAGGCCACTCTTCTCGGTTTGCAGATGATGATCTTCTGTGTGTTTGCATGATCTTTCCTCTGTGTGTACCTGTATCCGAGTTTCCTCTTCTTAGAAGGATATCTATCAGACTGGATTACAGCCCACACTAATGGCCTCATAAAGATGATATCTCCAAATACAGTTATATTCGGAGGTATTGGAAATTAGAATTCAGCATAGGAAATTTAGGGGACAAACTCACCCCATAGCAGAGGCCAAGGATAAGCATACAACCTTTAGGGTGTGAGGTCAAAGTCTTCCCCATCTGTGGCAGGAGGGGCTTTGTTAGGTAGGCAGGGAGTGTAGAACAGGCAAGGTCGGTACTCCCTGTCAGGAGGTCACCAAGCAGACAGAGATCTTCGGCTGGAGTCAAAAAAACAGGATGCGTGAGTGGCAAGAGATGAGCAGGGAAGGGCGCTAGGCCACATCCTCAAGGCCAGGCTGGGGGGCCTAAATGTTTCCTAAGGAGACCAGAACTAGGTACAGGAAGGACTGCCCTGAAGCCATATGGATACCAATGGAAAGAAGGGCCAGGGGAGAGGCTGGGGCTGCTTCAGAAGTGCTAGGAAGGGCAGGGCTTAGGATGGGGTGAGGGTCAGCGGTTGCCTGGAGTAGGCCTAAGGTCTGAGCGAATTAGAGCCAGGATAGTGGCCTCATCACTCGGCCCCCCCTTGTGTCTTCCCATATCTCTCATGATCATGATCGTTAGCCATTCAGTGCCCCAGCCCCAGTGCCCAGAAACAGGGCCTGAGCTCCCATAGTATCCTAAACATCTGAGCCACACTCCTGCTTTCCCCAGCCTTAACCTTAATAGGACTATATGCAGGCTTTTATTTTTAAGCTTTTAGTTTTTTTCTTTTTTGTTAAAACATGATGTGGATGTAGTGAAGTACTGAAATTTTAAGTGTACAACTTGATGAATTTTGACATATGTATAGTTCCCGCTGGCTTCCCCGTGCCCTTTGCTGGTCAACACTTCCCAGAGGTACCCACTAATCTGACCTTGATCATCTGAAATCAGCTTGCTTGTTTTTGAACTCCATGAATTAGAATCATAACTGTATGTTAGCCTTTATGTTTGGTGAATTTCACTCAGTCTGTGAGAGTCAGTAGTGTATATAAAGAAGTTTGTTCTTTTCCATTGCTGTGATGTGTTTCATTTTATGGACCAACCACGTTTTGTTTATCTATTCACCCTGTTGATGGGGCTTGGGTTCTTCCCAGTTTGGGGCCATTATAAAAAGGTGGTAGAGGGGGCCAGAGATTTAGCTCAGCGGTTTTGCCGCCTGCTGCGCAAGCACAAGAAACCGAGTTCGATCTCCAGCACCAAAAAAAAAAAAAAGGTGGTAGAAACATTTGTGCCCATGCCCTTTGGTGACAGGAAGCATGTTTGTCTTGAGTAGATGTCCAGGAGTGGTTGTACTATGTCATAAGGAGGGGGACATTTCTTTGGCTTTCCTGAATAGTGCTAGTATCAATTTAGACATCCACTAGAAAGCAATGACCTGTCTTTTGAATCAGGAATTTAAAACTCAAGCAGTGTTTTGTGTTGAGTAATTTTCAGTTGCAAAATTCCTAGACTTTTTTTTTTTCCATGCCGAGTGCTTCCCATTCTTCACTTTAGCGGGCTTTCTTTAAATATCTTGCAGATATTTTGCAGAGCACACAAAGGTTGGACATCTCCTTTGATAGGGGCAGGCTCATTGTTTAAGTGGGGATTTTGATGTACGTTGTTGGGGTCACAAATAAAGTCTGAAGCTAGATGTGAGTTAAGGTCAGATGAAGGAGCTGGACCATCTGGGCACAAGTTGGGACTCAAGGTAAGGGGACTGAGAATGGGTTAGGCCGAAGCCCAGATTTGTGCTGGGAATCAGGACCAGGAAGGGTAGAAGTAAGTATCAGGAGCTTGGGTTGGGAACTACTGGAGTTAAGATGGGTGGAAGTCAAGACTGGGACCCATTAGACTGGAGTAATCCAGATTAGAAACAGGAGTCCTGGAGTCACAAAGACCTGGGTCCAATCAGGGTGCCTCTGCTGTCTTGCCATGCTCTTGGGGAGGGGACATCCCTCTGGAACCTCAACTTCCTCCTCTGCAAAATGGGGTAATGATAGCACCAGTTTATGTGTGCTCTGAGTTCTGTGTAGCTCAGTGCTTGAGGCTCATGAGCACTCACTTTCCATGGTCGGTGTCAGTGCTGTGTGTACGGAGCATTTGTTCCACTGATTTGTTCTCCTGGTGCTCTGTCTGCTGTTTCCACCTCCCCTCGGTCACCTTCTTTCATTTCCTGGATCGCAGGAACTATAGATCGGGGTTCTATTTGTACGGTGGATTTGAGGGTGCAGCTCGGGTTCAAGGCAGAAGAACTGGGCAAGGTCTAGGGTTAGACTGAAGGACATGGTTAAGGGGAGAAGCAGGTGGATCTGGGGTTAGAGAGCAGCAAGATGGAGTGGCCAGGCCTACGCAAGACACACAAGAAGGAAGGCAGGCTTGGGGGGTAACATGGACAGAGAAAGTAGTGGGCCAGGGGGCAGCTGAATCACACCCTGAGATCTGACAACTCCCTTGTTTGAGGATGCTACAGCCCCAACACATCCCCCAGGCAGCACTCAGAGTGGAAAACATGTCTCACCCGAAACCTAATGGGGCAGAATGGGAGCCTCAGCAGCACGCCCGGGGAGGAGACTGAGGTCAAACTTGCTCCTTCACTGGCCCCCTGTCAGGCAGCTGATGCCTTTTCACGACCACCTTTGACCTCCCTCCCTGCCCCAGTGCATCACCTGAGTGACATCCCTTTGCCACGTTTTGGAGGAGTGAAAGGTTAAGGCAAGATCTCCCAAGGCCTGAGGTTCACTCTCTTGTCCTGCCAGAGGAGGGCAGAGGCCCAGAACAGAGAGAATATCTCTCCAAAAGAGCAACTTCAATGATGTCAGAGGGTGGAGGATTTAGAAAAGGCTCAGGGGTTGCAGAGGAAGGGTCTGAAAACCCTCTTGGCTTCTACCTCACCCTACTTTCATCCTTTCTTTGTCCCTAGAAATAAGAATGTCTAAGCCTCTGGAGGCCGAGAAACAAGGTCTGGACTCCCCGTCAGAGCACACAGGTGAGTGGGGAGGGCAAGGTCACAGTGGGCAAAGAAAGATGGCAGATGGCAAGACCACGGGAAGATAGGTGTGGTGGGACTGGCTGGTGACTGTACATTCTTTCCCTCTCTTTGCAGACACGGAAAGAAATGGACCAGACACTAACCATCAGGTCAGGAGCAGGTGGATAAGCAAGAAGCTGGCAGGAGGAGGAGGGGCCAAAGGGACTCTGAAGCCGCTGGGAAAGGTGGTGTCTGAAGCTGCTTCAGGGCACCATTCCCATCTCTTGCGTCAACTTTCTCTTTGCAGAACCCGAAGAATAAGGCCTCCCCATTCTCCGTGTCCCCAGCTGGCCCTGGCACCAAGGTAAGCACTGGTTGGAACATTCAGGGAAGTGGATGGTGTATGGGAAAGAGACCCAGAGCCAAAGAGCATCCAGTGACAAGATTTCTCCCACCCCTTCTCACCCTTGGGTTCCTGCCCCAGGTCTGTGACTCACCCAAGCTCCTTCCCCTTCCCTAGGGGGTGGGGGTGGTCAGGGAAATCCCCCCCAGAGTCCCAGGGCACTGAACAACAGGAAGCCAGGGCCCCACCCCCATCCCGGCTTCCCTGACTGAAGGGACCTGCATTATCCAGTCCCACAACACACACCCCCTGGGGAACGGCATGGGACAGAGGGGCTGGCAAACCCAGTAAGGACAGCTTTGGGGATGCAGGAGGAGAGGATGACTGGGGAAGCCAGAAGCAGCTGGATGGTACAGATTCCACATCCAGATGGGGTCCTGTACTAGGCATTGCTTGGCTTCCAGGGGCTTTCTTGAGTCCAGGTCTCCACCCTCCTGCCTGCTAGGGGGCAGCAGGCATGTTCAGAGATCTGACAGTAGCACCAAGGTGGGGGCAGAGGAGACGTGACCAGGACTCCTAACCCTGACCAGAGGGGGCTGAAGGATGGGATGGGAGGCTGAAAATTGCTCCCCACCCAGCCGCAGCCTTGCTCTGTGACCATGGGAAAGTCACTTCCCCTCTCTGGGCTTCTTAGTTTCCTCTTCTCTAACATTGGTGTGGGGAAGGAGTAGTTAGATGGTATGGTGCCTGAGGTTCCTTTCACGTCTGGTGGGCCCAGGTGCTGCCATGGGAGGACCAAGTGTCTTAAGAGCAGGTGCCTTCTCTTCTATACTGAGCACTTTGGGCTGGGCTGAAGTGAGAAGGACTCCAGCTGTAGATCTCCTGATCTCAGGCTTTGGTTCTTAACCCTGGGAGCCCTGTCCACCCTGGTCCCAACGTCATCCCAGCAGCTGAGATGGGGGGCTGAGAAAATAAAGGGCTTACCCTCTCATTCCCAGGCCTGGGGCCTGTCCTCACCTGACCCTGGTTCTCTGGTCCCAGCTTTTGCCTCTCCACCTCTCTCCATCTCTTCCGGGCCGGCCAGCCGGCCTTTCCCCAGCTGTAGCGATTCATGTGCTATTGTCATGGTTTCAGACATATGCACATACCGCTGTGTACAATTATTTACGTAATTGTTTAATTGGCTCAATTTTTAAAAACACTTTATTATGGAAAGTGTGAAGCATATACAAAAATAGAAAGGGTAAAAATGAAAACACCCCCCCAGGAACCCATCAATCAGCTTCGGCGTTAATTATCATCTCATGAACTGCTCACTTTTTTGACAGCTTGAATAAATGGTTTTTAAATGGAAATTTTATGAATGGAAAACCAGAGTCACTTGCCATGGAAATAAATACAGTGATTATTAAAATTTACCCAGAGTCTCTTACGGATCTAAACCCAAAACCTGTTCTTCATTGGGTAAAAGGGGAGATTAGCCAGCATTTTGAGTTTAAGACATCTTTGAACCGCCTGGAGACTTTCTTAAGATTACCCAGAAAGAATGAAAAAGCCCTGAAAAGGAGTAGTGTTCTCACCATTTTAAAAAATTTTAGGGCCAGGGATGTAGCTCAGTGGTTCTGGCACCTGCCTCGAAAGCACAAGGTCCCGAGTTCGATCCCCAGTATCAAAAAAAAAAAAAAAAAAAAAAAACCACAATAAATTTTTTTTTTTTTTTGTACGGGGGATCAAACTCGGGACCTTGCGCTTTCGAGGCAGGTGCCAGAACCACTGAGGTAAATCCCTGGTGCCCCCCCCCCAAAATTTTATATTAAAATATCACACATACACAAACATTCCTAGGCCTTCGGCATATGACTGAATTTTCACAAGCCGAGCACAGCTGTGGCACCACCATCAGATGAAGCAGAACATGCCCAGCCTTCCAGAGGCCTAATAACCCTGCTGGGGACACCCATTTCCCTGACTTCTAATACTCACTGTCATTTCATGTTGCATCCCTGTAGTTCTAAAGCACTATGACACTTGTGTCCCATAATTTGGGACATGACGGTGGCTCTCATTTGTCTTTTCCTAAGCTCCTGCCTCTCTATCTCTGTTTGCATTTCAAATGTCACCATTCTGACAACCTGCTGTATCACCTTGCCCAAGTTGCTTTCCCTCTCTGGACTTCCTTTTGCAAAATGGTACAGTGATTTCCCTAGTGTCCACTTTGGGCCCGAGAGCATGTAATCCATTGAGCTGTGCTTTCTCCCACCCCCGTGTGTCTGTTACCAGCAGCTTCTTTCATCCAACAGCCACTGTTGCCTGGCTTCTTACTGAGAAGAAAAAAGCCAGGGTGGCTCTATGCTGGTCTGTTCTATGTGCCTCATACAAGATACAGCAACATGATAGAGAGATGGGGAGGGGCTCATGGACATCTGGCGTGGAGGGTGGCACCTGGCAGTCCCTGGGCCACATTTGGCGTGTCCATAGCACTGGACCAGCCCAGTGCTTTGCTTGTCCTGCAGGCATTTCTGTTTAGAGTTTGAAAGGAGGGGTCAGTGGGAGCAGAGTAGGAGCTGCTTAGGTCTTCCCTTCTGGTGGGGTATGTTCTCTCTACCCTCCCCCATGCACCCTGCCCATGTCACCCATTTGTGCTCTCTGCTTGTCTCCATAATCATTTGTATTTGTGGCCCAGGTTCTGAGGTGGTGATTTTGTTAAATACTTTAAGACCCTTCCTTCCAACAAATTCTTATTCCATTGGACAAATAAGAGATACACATCTGGCTAATTCAGATGAGGGGTGAGGGACCCCAAGCCCCATTATTTGATATTCAAGGCCCCCAGTAGCACCATTTCCCATTTTACAGGTGGGGAAACTGACTCCTAGGAGGAGAAAGGTGCTTCCCAGAGGGAGGAAGGTGGCTTCTTATAGGGAGTTTGGGTGCAAGTGATGTGTTAGTCCTCTCTGGCTGATGAGGAAACTGCAGCCAAAGGACGTCTGTGGCCTTTGAGCTGCAGCCTGACCTCCATACTTCACTCATCTCCTCTTGTGCCAGCCTGAGGCTGGCACTGCCACATACATGCCCTTTCTTTGGTTCACAGGTGGGCATTCTCTCTGGCCTCCACTTAACATTCTGGGGTCCCGGACCCTGCCTCTCTCCTCCCCAGATCAAGGCTGAAGACCCCAGTGGTGACTCAGGCCCAGCAGCACCCCCGCCCCCCCAGCCGGCTCAGCCTCATCTGCCCCAGGCCCAACTCATGTTGACGGGCAGCCAGCTAGCTGGGGTAAGTACTTGGGGAAGGACGGAGACAGGGAAAACCAGACACCTCCCCTCTGTCACAGGACTCGTGGATGAGGGGTCAACTAAGGCCATGGCCACTCTCTCATGCCTGCCTCTTGCCCTATTCCGTCCTCCAGGAAGACTTGTTCCTAAGCTGCTTGGCTCAGGCTCTAACCCCTCTCTGCCTTCTCTGCTTTCTGTCCCTTCTGGTCCCGCTGCCCACCCACAGCTCACAGCACTGATGCCAGCTCAGCAGCAGCTCCTCCTGCAGCAAGCCCAGGCCCAGCTGCTGGCTGCTGCTGTGCAGCAGTCCAGTGCCGCCGCTGCTGCCAACGCTGCTGCCGCCGCCGCCGCCGCCTCCTCCTCCACCTCCTCTTCCTCCTCTTCCTCCTCCTCTGCCTCCTCCTCGACCTCGCAGCCCCCAGCCTCTTCTGGGGGAGGTGACCTGCCACCACCACAGCCTGCCAGCCAGCCCCCTGGGACCCCACAGCTCACCTTGTCCCAGCCCATCCAGCTCACAGCACAGGTAAGGGTGCACCGGGCAGTGCACTTCCTCCAGTCCACCTGCCCCTTCTGACTACCAGCCATGTGCCAGGCAGGTCTCAGCAACCCCAGGAAGCCCTGGGAGATGTTGCTGTCCCATCTTACCGAGGGATACAGTAAGAGTCACAGGAGGAGTATCCCACCTGATGCAGCCCCTGGCTGTGCTTCCGTACATCTCCCTATATATGGCTCATAGCCCCCTTGGAGGGTTGGTACAATTATCTTTGACCCACAAGTGAGGAAACCAAGGGTCGCTCCCATGAGTAGTACCCCATATGTGCACAAAATGAAAGGCTGAGAGTCAGAATGAGTGCTTTACATCTTATGCTCTGGTTCACCCATCAAGATGCTCTTTCAGAAAAGAGGTCCATGATCTCTGAGTTAGGAAATGCTGCATTCTTTCTTCCCATTCTGAAGTTTTCAGTCATGAATCACGAATTAGTGGCGGAGTTAGTTTCCTAGGGTTGTCATAACAAAATGCCACCAATTGGGGGACTTGAAACAACAGAAATATATTATCCCAGACCACAAGTCCAGAATCAAGGTGTCAGCAGGGCCCCAGGCCCTCTGAAAGCTCTAGAGGAAAACCTTCCTTGCCTCTTCTAGTTTCTGGCGGTACGGACCATCCTTGGTGTTCCATGGATGGACATGGATCACTCCAGCCTCTGTCACATGGCCTTCTGTCTGTGCATGTCTCTCTCTCTAGCTAAATGTCTTTTTTTTCTCGTAAAGACACCATGAATCCTTACCTCAACTGGGGCTCCCAATGGCAAAGTATGCTGTGAGCAGGAGTGGCAGAGCTGGCCTGGAGCCCAGGGCTCTAACCACACGCCTGGTGGCCGCTGCCGGTAGTTGTCTCCTTCTCCAGGCAGGGTTTGCAGCCCCTCCCAGCTGGGTTGCCAGAGACTCCAGTGGCAGGTCGGCTTGCCTCCTGGCACACACAGCTCTTTACTGAGCACCATCACTGGGAAACATTTTATTTGAAAAATACTGAAAAGCCCAGAAAAGAGTCAAGAATACATTAACTGGGGATGTAGCACAGTGGTAAAGCATTTGTCCAGCATTTGTGAGGGCCTGGGTTCCATCCCCAGCACTGAAACAAAACAAAACAAAACAAAAAAACACCCACTCATAAGCCCTATCACTTCAAAAGTATGAAGGGAAAGTCCCTCTTCCATAATTCCTGTCAGATAGTTGGGCAGTATACTTTCCTTCGATTTCTTAGCTTGTACCCACAGAGGGTTGATTATAATACAGTTTTATAATTTGTCCAATGCTCAGGGAGATGCCTTCTACCAAGGAGGCTACATGGATGTTTACTGAATCAATGAAAGATGTTTTGTTGCAGTGTTTCAATCAAGAAAAGGGAAGACATCTCTCCAGGGGAGCATTCAGAATGTCTGGGGTAGGGGTTGGCATTGATTGAAAACTTACATCAACTGTTAAAAAAAAAATCATTTTGTATTTGGCGAATGGGGGAAAAGTCCCTATTTTCCTAATAGGACCATAGAAAATAAAGCTTAACAGAGTCTTTTAGGCTGGTGGGATCTAGTGAATAAAAGTTTCCCAGAGATACCCACTGGATGTGGTAGGAATGTGCTGAGTGTTTCAGGGGTAATCAGGGAGGCTTGGGGAGGAACTGATATCTGAACTGAGAGGAGGAAAAGGAGTGTGCTAGGTGGATGAGCTAGAGGAAGGGGTTCCAGGCAGTGGGAACTAGAAGTAGTACTCGAGGAGCCAAGGCAGGCTCAGAGAGCTGAGGGTCTGGGTGGTGAAGGGTGAGCTGGGAATAGGGGCATCACTCAGGCCAAAGCTCAATCCAGGTGGCTGATGAAACAGGAAGCCTTGGTTCAGGTCACTGAAAGCCTTACCCAGAACATCAGGCCTAGCGCCCAGGATCTGTCTCCCTGTTTTGTCCTGGGGAAAACAGATGGTGCCAGAATTTCCAGACTTGCAGCCGTCCTGCCCAGGGGGGCATTTGTTTGTTTGTTTGTTTGAAGGGTCTTGCTACTTAGCCTAGACTGGACTTGAATTTATGGCAATGCTCCTGCCTCAACCTCCCAAGTGCTGGGATCACAGGCATGTGCCAGGCTTTTACTCTTTTAGCTATTTTGAAATATACATTATTTTTAAAAAATTAATTTTATTGGTACACTTTAGGTATACAATTCGTTTACACTTATCATTGGGTGTTTGTATGAAATATACATTATTGTTAACTACAGACATTGTACTGTACAGTAAAACACCAGAATTTATTCTTCCTAACTGAAAGTTTGTACTCACTGACCAGTGCTCCATCCTCCTCCACCCACCCTTATGTAGAACATAATCTGTCACAATATGATTTACATGGTTTCCAGATCCTACCCCTTTCTGTTCTCCCCTCTGGACTTAACTGGAAGCTAATGTCTCAGAATGGGATGTCCAGAACTGGTCACAATTTGCCATTTTATGGATGGCCAAGTGTCGGGCCACACACTGACACCATACTAGTCATAGTTGTGAGGCTCCACTAGGGCTGAGAGCCACAAGGGAGTGGGCCGTCTGCCCTGTGCACTGGAGTGAGGCACAGCACCTGGGCCATGTCACAGCTGGCCAGCTCCAGGGCCCAGGCCTCCTCAAGTTTACTCTCTCCCCAGGTGGAACCAAGCCCAGATAGGAAAGTCAGCAATAACTCCCCCCATACCTGAGTATAAACTGTCTTTCTGCCCCCAGTCTGTGGCTAACATTCTAGCTGTGGCAAAATAATATGATCTGAGGCTTGTGCCTCATTCATTCATTGAAAATTTATTGATTGCCAGTTAGATGCATGCTCTGGGGGTGGAGAGCGATCAGAATATAGTGATAAGCAAGAATTGGTCCCTTCCCTTCTCAGCTTTAATAAGATATGCTAACCCTTGGAGCCAGTTTTCCTTCCAGGTTAGAGACAGAGCTGTTGATCCACAAAATATACTGGCCAGGGGCCCTTCCCCAGCATCTGTCAACCTACTGTGACTTCTCCATTGCCTGACTAGGGTGTGACATGCCCCTAAGTGGCCACAGAGAGCCATGTGGCCTCTGGATTATGGAGAAATGGGGCCCCCTACTGGCCAAATCCAGTCCTGACCCTGCTCACTGATTACCCAGAATCTTCTCTTCCTCATTCTTTCATTCCTTTCGTCAGCAAATATTTGATGAACATCCCCATGTCCAGGCATCTTTCTGGGCAGGGACAAGGTAGACAAGTTGTACACCCATGGAATTGATGGTAACTCTAGCTGCACGATAGACGAGAAGCAGATAATTTCTGTATGAAGAGCTGTGTTTTTTTGGTACCTGGGATCGAATTTGGGACCTTGTGCTTGTGAGGCAGGCGGTGGAACCACTGAGCTAAATCCCCGTCCCAGAAGTAGATAATTCTGATGCAGGAAAGAAAAGAATGACAGAGGAAAAGGAAGATCCTTATCAGAGCAGGTGGCCAGGGATAGACCCTTGAAAGAGGGGGAGGGATTAGCCATGTGTAGCTCTAGAAGGAATAGCAAAAGCTAGGAGTTGGGGAGTCCTTTCTGGGTTGAGTGACAGCAAAGAGACCACTGTGGCTGGACCAAGGTTAGGGGTGAAAGCGTCACAAAGTGGACAGAAGGAGAGGCAAGCAGGGAACTGGGGCGATAAAAGCTGAGCCATGGAGTTGGATTCTGTTACAAATGTGATGAAAGTTAGTGAGGGATTTCTGGATATATATATATATATATTTTTTTTTTTTTTTTTGAAACAGGGTCTTCCTATGTTCAGGCTGGCCTCGAACTCATTATGTAGCTCAGGCTGCCCTTAAACTTGCAGCGATCCTTCTGCCTCAGCCTCCCGAATGCTGGAATTACAGGTGTCACCCACTGTGCCCAACTTGTATTTATATTCTAGAACAGGGACCAGATCTGCTCCCAGGAAGTCTGTGGATAGAATTCAGAAGCTCCATGAACTTTGATTGAAGAAAATCTCTAATTTCACTATATTCTAACTGAAATGTACCATTCCTGTTATTATGAATATAGGCAACGGGCCAGAATACTAGGTAGCACTGATAGGACACACAGAGGTTTTCATATTCTCTTCTAGTTGTTGCAGATCTCTTAAAATACTGTTTTCACTCCTCATTGCTTTGAAATTATGGTGGTTATCAGACCTATTCTGGATCTTATTTATTAATATGCTAATAAAGAAGCCCACAGATTACTATATCACAATTTAAAAAGCAGTCAATGACTGTATTCCAATACAATTGATTTCATTTAAAGCCCTATATGTTTTACATACTTTTAATTCTGAGAAGAGAGTGATAAGTTTGTCAGACACCAAAGAATTCGGGGAATAAGAAAGCCTAGGACCGCCAAACATGGAGGTGCATGCCTGTAATCCCAGAACTCAGGAGGCTGAGGCAGGAGGATTGCCATGAGTTTCAGGCCAATCTGGATTACATAGTTAGTTCAAGGCCAGTCAGAGCTATGGACCCTGTCTCAAAAACAAAAACAAAAACAAACAAAGTCTGAGACTCTGTTGTATTAGATGGCTTCCTCCCAACTGCTAGCAAAGAATGAGTGGTCAAGGTAGATGGTATGGTGGCTTGGGCCAGGATGGTGGCAATGGTGGGAAGGAGCTGGTAAGAGGTGAGGATGGACTGGATGAATGGGGAGGAGGGACGGAAGGTGGGGATCAAAGCTGATCCCTGAGTCTCCATCTGATTCACTGGATGGTTAAATGTTTTTCATTTGGACTCCTTACCATAGATCCTGTGCAACCCAGCATGCACTTCCCCCAGCCTTTCCTCTCCTGCTGATTCAGAGTGAAAACCACACATCTTTTAGGCTTCTGGTGGGAAAGAGTTTTCACTCAGAGACACGATAGGAAGAGATACGTGTTAATAAATATTCTCACCAACACACTAAGGGTTATAGCAAATCAGAAAATTACAGGTAATAGCCAGGCATGGTGGCACATACCTATAATCCCAGCACTGTGGGAGGCTGGGCAGGAGGACTGCAAGTTCAAGCCTAGCCTGGCATGTTAGCAATTTAGCAAAACTCAAATAATAAATAAATAAATGGGCTGGGGATGCTGCTCAGTATGAAGGAAGGCAAACACACACAATACTGGTAATAAGACTCTGTTTCTGGTCTTATTTGTTGATTTGTTGGATTCAATTCAGTGGGCATTCAATGGGGGCTTCTCAGGCCCCATTAAGGGTTTGGAATATAAGAAGAATAAGGCACACCTCTGCTTGTTAAAGTTTCAATCTAGCAGAGGCAAAATGCACACCAGCAAATCCATTGCCTTGTGAAAAGTGCAGCACAGACTTGGATATGGTCGCACCTATAATCCCAGCACTCTGCGAGGCTGAGGCAGGAGGATCATGAGTTTAAGGGTGGGTAATTTAGCAACTTAGTGAGACCCTGCCTCAAATAAAACATAAAAAAATAACTGGGGACGTAGCTCAGTGCAAAGGGCCTGGATTAAATCCCCAGTACCACCAAGGGGAAGAAAGTACAGCACAGAGCCGGGTGGGTCTCCATTTTGTGGGGCCTGAAGAGTATACAGTTTGGAGGGCCTTTGAAAGAAAAAGAAGGGGGCCAGGGATTTAGCTCAGTGGTTCTGCCACCTGCCTCGCAAGTGCAAGGTCCCAAGTTCGATCCCCGGTACCAAAAAAAAAAAAAAAAAATTGAAAGAAAAAGAAGGAAAATCTACAGCTATCCCACCATGAATGTTCCCAGTCTCATCTGAAAGAGAAAAAGAAAAGGCCCAATATGAAACTAAAATTTAGGTCTGGGCCTTAGAAGGGCCCATCGTAAATGGAAGCCCCTGAAGCTTGAGCTTCGGTGCTTCACAACGAAGGTCGATTCACATGTGGAGGGAGACAGCCATGGGGGGTTACTGGACTGGAGGATCCAGGAGAAGGAAGGCAGAACGGACTTGGTTTTCAAGTATGTACCCTGAGGTTTTCAGAACCCTTCCCTGGAGTCCAAGATGACTGCAGTCAGAGAGAGGGAAGGGCAGAGGGCTCCCTCCTCTGCCATACACTGAGAAAGTGGAGCCCCCTCCAGGGCGCAGGCAGCAGCTTTGACCTTTTGTAAAATAAAGCAAGCCTGTTGCTCACCAATTACTGTTTGGGATGGGGACAGGACACCTGGATATTTATTTACTTTGACCAGGTAAATGTACCAGATTCACAAAATGGAGAAGGATGTACAGTGGGCTTTGTTTTTTTTTATAGTGTTCTAGATATCATCTATAAATATTCAAGCAAATACCTATACTTTTCCTTTACACAAACAGCAGCACCTCATACCCACTGTTCTGTCTCTTAAGATTTTCACTCAACAGAACATTCTGGAAATTGTTCTATATCAAGACTCAAAGAACATCCCCAATGTACGGTGATAGGAGGCTGAGGCAGAAGGTAACATAGTGGTAGCGCCGGGGATTTAGCTCAGTGGTTCCGGCACCTGCCTTGCAAGCGCCAGGTCCCGAGTTTGATCCCTGGTACCAAAAAAAAGTAAATAAAAAGAAGGTAACATAGTGGTTTAGTGAGATGCTGTCTCAAAATAATAAATAAATAAATAAAAAGGGCTGGGAGCGTAGCTCAGTGCAAAGGCCCTGGGTTCAATCTCTCCTATAAAATTCCTCCTATAACAGCATCCTTGTTCTTTTTAGTGATTGCATAGTAGTCCCCCTATTGCTGTGTGCCCAGCTGATTCCTACTCTCGCTGGAATCCCATTTGAGGCTGGGAATATCTTTCCATGGAGGTCATTTTGCACAAGTGTACATACATCCCCAAGATAAGTTCCTGGCAGTGAAACAGCTGAGTCGAAGGGCATGTAATTTGTAATTTTGATTCTCCCTCACCAGCCATGTGCAAGAGTGTTTGTTTTTCCACACTTCCACTTGGTATGTTGCACACTCTTTTTATCTTTGCTAATCTGAGAGGTAAAAATAGTACTTAGTGCAGTTTTATTTCTGTTTATCTTACTGTGAGTGATCTGAATGCACACTCATTCCAAGCTGGTTTTATCTCCTTTGTGGGCCCTCTCCAGACCAACTATGTCATTGGTTGTTTTCTTATGGATTTAAAATTGCTCTTTATGTATTAGAGAAGTGAGCCTTTTCTGTCAAGTTGCTTATGTTTTTTCCCAATTAGTTCACTTCCTGGAACATTAAATTGGTTTTTAGAATAAAGATTTTGGAATAATGAGAGGAATTGAGGGGTATGTGCCAACACCCCAAATTTCACAGAAGAAAAAAATACATAGCTTTCAACTATGCATACATAAAATTTGCAAAGTAAATGATGAAGTATCGGTCTTGGAGCATAACATATATATGCAGAGAGCTTACTGGATGCCAGGTGCGATTCTAGGTGCTGAGGATAGAGCAGTGGCCACGTGACGATCATGCTGTCATGCAGCTTATGTGAGGGTGGCTATGAGCGAGTGAATGGAAAGAGCCATACCTTGAGATGTGGAAAGTCTTATGAAGGAGATGGAATGGGGGTTCGTAAAGGGGGACACGGTGGTGGGATGATTTATGTAATTTGTGCAAGAACTGGAACCATCCCCCATAGACCAGGGAACAGTATGTGTAAAGCCCTTGAGGCAGAAAAAAGCTTGGTGCTTTTGAAAAAGAGAGAAGGGCTGAATGGCTAGAGCATAGCCAGATGGGGAGAGGACAGAAGGAGTTGAGGTCAGGGAGTCCAGCACAGGCCTTGGTTTACAGGGCCTTATAGACCAGGTGAGGGTTTTCTATTATTGTGTGTGCACGTGTGGATGAGTAATGGGGATTTTTTTTGGGAAATGTTCAAACAGACATAGAGATAGGGAGAATGATTTAATGAACCTGACATACCCATAATCCAAGTCAATAGATAGGAACATTTTTCCAATCCTACTGGCAAACAGGATTTCAATTAGACTCACTTTGAGGGGGGTGGATTTTTTTCCCTCTCCTTCTTTCCCTGCTTCATTCCCCTTAAAAACATCTCTTTACTGAAGTACAACAAATACAGAAGCATGCACAAATCATCAGTATATAACTTAATGAATACCCACAAACTGAGAAAACCTATATATGGGCACCTAGAAGCCCCTCAAACTTCCAACATGCAAATGGAACACAAACAATCATATAGGATGTTCTCTACTGTGACTAGCTTCTTTCACTCACTACATTTGGGAAATTATATTATTGGATGTCATTTTAGATCATAGCTGCTCATTCTCATTGTTGAGGCATCCATTGAATCACATTCAGTAGAATTTACCCATCCTACTGGGGCTCTCTATCTATGGGCACTGGGGCCATCTTCAGGTTGTGACTATTTCACATGGTTTGCGTGAACATTCTGGTATGTGTCTGTGGAGATCACATGTACACATTTATGGTGGTTTAAACCCCAGAGTGGAATTACTGGGTCATAAGGAGGTGTATGTTCAGTTTCGGTAGATAGTGCTTGTATGGTTTGCTAGGGCTGCTATGTATGACCAGCTGGCTGACTTACAACAGACACTTCTTGCCTCACAGTTCTGGAGGCTGGAAGTCTATAATGGTGTTGGCAGGTTTGGCTCATTCTGAGGGCTGTAAAGAAAGGATCTGTTCCAAGCCTCTCTCCTTGACTTATAGATGGTCTTGTTTTCCATGCCTGTTCACATCTTTCTTCTATCTGTGTCTTTGTCCAAATTTGCCCTTTCTTTGAGGACATTGGTCATAATGGATTAGAGCCCACTCCAGTGGCCTCATTTTACTTTGATCACTAGCAAAGACCTTATCTCCAAATAAGGCTCTGGGGGTTAGGAGTCCATCATATCTTTTTTCAACCCATAAAGGTGGTTTTATCAATTTACACACCCACTGTTTTCTGAGGATTTTAAAGCTAATTCCAGACACAATATAATTTGCCTTGGGCCCTTCTGGGACCACCTACTTGGGACTCTCTGGTATCCCCTGTATGAGAGAAGCCTCCGGGTGCCTCAGAGTGCTATTAGGACTGGTGGACTGTCCTTCACTGCCTAGTGCTAGGTTGCCTCCTTCCTGGTTTCAGCCCCTGGTGGCTCAGATAATGCAGAGAGGGAGGAACCCTGCCAGGACTTAGACTGTCTTTCTGTCCATCTCCTCCCTGCCAGGACATACAGCAGCTACTCCAGCTCCAGCAGTTAGTGCTTGTGCCAGGCCACCACCTCCAGACACCTGCTCAGTTCCTGCTGCCACAGGCCCAGCAGAGTCAGCCAGGTAAAGCCCTACCAACTGCCTCTCTGATGCCTCCACCGGTCTTTCTTTATCTGCCCCCTCACCCTGTGTGTTCCTCCTCATCTCCCCAGGCCTGCTACCAACGCCAAATCTATTCCAGCTACCTCAGCAAACCCAGGGAGCTCTTCTGACCTCCCAGCCCCGGGCCGGGCTTCCCACACAGGTGAGATTGTCTACTGAATGTGCCAGGCTAAGCTGGCAACAGGGCCAGCCAAGGACTGGAGGAGTGGGGGTGGTGTGGGGGGCAAATCTCCTCTCCCTTGGCCCACTCCACAGCCACAGGGCCAAGACAGCAATTGGGGAACCTGGGGCCCAGACTACTCTGCCACTGATTTGCTGTGGGACCTCAAGTAAGGCACATTTCCTGTCTAGGTGAGCTCCTTCCTCTAGAGAACGAGGGGAATTGAACCAGACTAGGGTCTTAACCCTTTCAGGCACATGGACTCCTTTGAGAATCTGATGAAAGATTTAGTTCTGATCCCCATTTCCCCAAAATGTATACAAACACACACAATTTCAGAAGGTTGCAAGCCTTTAGGTTAGGAATGCCTCAGAGGTCTCTTTTAGCAGAGAACTGGAGAGTTCTCTGAGCCCTATTTGGCTTTTGCCAACTTAATTCCCAGGAAGTGCCAATTTTTAGCTTCTCTTCAGAAACCAGAATATCTGGCAAGACTGGGCCATCATGTGGGGACCCTTAGGTGGGATCCCAGCTCTCCAGGCACCTCAGTGTTCTACTGCATAGACTCTAAAGCCTTTTGGTTTGCTGCCTGGGTTTTAGATTTTAAGAATCTTTTGATATCCTTTATGCATTTAAAATTTTTCCTACTCATTTTTTTATAGCCCTTTCAAAAATATATGAGGGCTGGGCCGGGGATTTAGCTCAGTGGTGCTGCTGCCTGTCCTCCAAGTGCAAGGACCCAAGTTCGATCTCTGGTACCAAAAACAAAACAAAAATAAAACAAAACAATATATGAGGGCTGCGGGAGTGGGTGAATAGCTTAGTGGTAGAGCATGTGCTTGGCATGCTTGAGGCCCTGGGTTCAATCCCCAGCACCAAAGCCAAAAAATACATGAACTATTTCAGAAAGACTAGAAAGTTGAGAGGCCAGTCCAGGTCTTGGCTGCAGTGCTGAAATTCAATAACGCTTTGAAAGTCAAGGTGTTCTAATAACATTGGTGCTAAAAACTGCCCTATCTGACATGAAGTAGCATGTGACTTTTTCTTATCTCCCTTGGTGTGATATCCCTGCTACTGCAGAACTACTAATGTGTCTCATTATGAGGTGACCCTTGACCCTGATTGGGGGGGGTCACACTCTCTCTAATTTGTGCTCTAGATAGGCCTCCTAAAATCTGAAAAACTTTTGATTTCCGCAAAACATCCGGGACCTCAGGGGTTTGGATCATCAAGGACCTGGGAGACAGACCTCCCTGCACCCACCACCGACCTTTTACTTTCAGGGCAATGGAGCATTACAGACAGAGCTGTTGCTTCATTGTCAGTGCCCCTAATTGTCCTCACTGTCCATTTTAAAATCCTTTTACATTATTTGCTATGTACTAATTTTTTAAGACTTATATTTTAGACCAACTTTATTTTTTTATTTTTTTATTTTTTTTTTGGTACCAGGGATCGAACTCGGGACCTTGCGCTTGTGAGGCAGGCACCAGGACTACTGAGCTAAATCCCTGGCCCGTGTGTTTTTTTGGGTTTTTTTGGTACCAGGGATTGAATTTGGGACCTTGTACTTGCAAGTCAGGCACTGGAACCACTGAGCTAAATCCCCGGCCCTAGACCAATTTTAGACTCACAGCAAAGCTAAATGGAAAATCAAGATCAAATATACCTTCTGCCACCCATGTGCTGGCTTCCCCATTGTCCACATTCTCAGTCTGAGTGGTGCATGTATTACAGACCAGGCACGTACACCGACACACCATTCTTACCACAGTTCATCGCCTGAACATTGGAGTTCACACTTGGTGTTGCATATCCTGTGGGTTTCGACAACCAGCTTATTTCAAACCTGATTCTCCCACTACCCCAGTAAGCAGGCAGAACAGCAGTGATGGTTTCCATCCATAGAGGGAAAAGTGGGGCCCAGGGAGATTAAGAAGCTTACCCCAACTACCCAGAAGTACAGTGGCAGAGCCAGTCCTTACTTCAAGGCTGGTGAAGAGGAAAATGAAACCCCTGCTCCCTGCTCCAGAGAAAGAGTGCTTGGCAAAGAAGCCAGCTGTTCCGTCCAAGAGTTTGCAAGCTCAAAGGAATGTGCAGGGTTCTAGGCATTGCCCCTTGTGAGGCTGCAGTCAGACGTTTAGCAGATGGACCATGAGTGTGGAGAGGCCTCCTTGGGCAGGCGGAGGGGTCTGCAGGAAAAGGCTGGACTGTGGGGAGGGTGTGGGGACCACACAGCCATTGCTCAGCATCACCCTGCTCCTCCGTCCTGCATCCCACTCACCTGCCTGCCCCACCAGGCCGTGACCCGCCCCACGCTGCCCGACCCGCACTTCTCATACCCGCAGCCCCCTAAATGCTTGGAGCCGCCATCCCATCCAGAGGAGCCCAGTGATCTTGAGGAGCTAGAGCAGTTCGCCCGAACCTTCAAGCAACGCCGCATCAAATTGGGCTTCACGCAGGTCTGGGACTACCTTGCCAGCTGGGCAGTGGGCAGTGTGAGGGGCAGTGTGGCCTGCTGGTTGGCAGGACAGCCCAGTGCCAGAAGGCCCTGCCCTGACCTCTGCCCCATTTCCACCCCACTGGCCCAGGGTGATGTGGGCCTGGCCATGGGCAAGCTTTATGGCAATGACTTCAGCCAGACAACCATTTCCCGCTTCGAGGCCCTCAACCTGAGCTTCAAGAACATGTGCAAACTGAAGCCCCTCCTGGAGAAGTGGCTCAATGATGCAGGTGAGACTGGGCTGAGACTCCCAGGTTAGGGAGGCAGGAGGAGGGCAGGGGGTGGTGCCTTCTGAAGCCCACGTCTTCTCCCTGGCACAGAGACTATGTCTGTGGACTCAAGCCTGCCCAGCCCCAACCAGCTGAGCAGCCCCAGCCTGGGTTTTGATGGGCTGCCTGGCCGGAGACGCAAGAAGAGGACCAGCATCGAGACGAATGTCCGCTTCGCCTTAGAGAAGAGTTTTCTAGCGGTGAGACCTCACCCTCTGGGGTGGCCAGAGGGGTGGCACCAGAAAGGGCCGGAACTAACCAGCCCTCTGTCCACAGAACCAGAAGCCTACCTCAGAGGAGATCCTGCTGATTGCCGAGCAGCTGCACATGGAGAAGGAAGTGATCCGTGTCTGGTTCTGCAACCGGCGCCAGAAAGAGAAGCGCATCAACCCTTGCAGTGCAGCCCCCATGCTGCCCAGCCCGGGCAAGCCGGCCAACTACAGCCCCCACCTGGTACTGAGAGCCCTGTGTGGGTGGGGAGGACAAGCTGGACAGGCAGGCACCTGTGTGAAGCAAACCTACCTGATTGTCCAGAGCCTACCACTGGGGCCAAGAGAGTTGCTCTTGAAGATAGGCTGTCACATAAGGAGCCCAGTCACACAGGGACACGCATTTTCCAGGTCTTATGTGGGTAACACACACACACAGATGCACACTGACAGAGCCATTTATCACAGGGACATAGCCACGCAGGGATGGACACAGACACCCAGGGCATGGTCCAGGTAGAGATACTCAAGTATCCACACAGAGACTGGAAGAGGTGCTTGCTCACCTGGCAGGCACATCACTGCTCCCCTGGGGTTCCTTCAGGCTCACAGCTACACACAGGCCTGCTTGGTATTGCATATATCAGGAACAGCCTTTATTCTATCCCTATATTTCAATTCATGGAAAGAGCTATGGTGCTCCAGAGAAGAGTCCCCGGCCCCAGGGTTATGTAGGAAGGAGGGACCCTCTAAACTGAGTCATAAAGGATAAGAGAGTTAGCCAGCCACATGGAAAACAGCCTCCCAGGTGAAGAGATTGGTTTGCACAAAAGCCTAGATACCAGAGTGCCAGGCCTGCTTGGAGCGCTCCAGTGCTGTTCAGTGTGGTTGGAGTTACAATTTATGTGAGTGAACGTCACCAAATTTCATAATGATTTTGAACCATGGGCAGAAGGGAGCTGAGGAGGACTTCTAAGTTGGGGAGGGAGAGAGTTAAATTCCACAAGCCTTCTGGGACTGATAAAAAAGGTGAGACTGTAGGCAGGGAAGCCAGGAAGGAGGCCAGAGGATGATCCCAGAAAATCAAGTATCATGGCATTCTAACACTGACACAAAGATCTGGATCAGTTTATTCTCAAGCTCCCTACACATACACAAAGACACACTTCAGGCCTGCTCCCTCCTTGCCTGGGGGCTCCCACCAGACCGCTTGCTTGCCAGCCCCACCCTTAACAGGGCAAATATGTTTACTGTAGGAGAACTGAGACAGTTGCTCTTCAGGTGTAGTCACTGTGGACAGGATACTACACTTTAGCCAGCCCGGGTAGAGTCAGATGGGAAGTGGGAGCCCCTCTCTGTGGAGAATTATTCCTTCCTGCTTGTGGTTCAGGATCACCTAGGGCAGTGATGGCAAACCTTTTAGAGACTGAGTGCCCAAACTGCAACCCCAAATCCACTTATTTATTGCAAAGTGCCAACGCTACAATTAAACTTAAATACTGAGGTTTTAGTTTAGCAAAAAAACAACTATTATCTGATGACAGGTTTGCCACCACTGACCTAGGGTAAATGTGAGGGAAGATGTGATGGAAAATAGATTGTATTCAAAGCCCCCCACCCCATCCTGGGGCCAGGGCAGTGAGTGTTCTACGTCCAGGAAGCACCAAGGGGGCTACTAGGAAACAGTGGCCTAACTGTACGACTTTCCTCTCTCCCCAGGTCACACCCCAAGGGGGCGCAGGGACCTTACCATTGTCCCAAGCTTCCAGCAGTCTGAGCACAACAGGTCAGGGAGGGCAGAAGCTGGTGAGGGGGGCTGGGAGGACATTGCATGGGCTGCAGCCTAAGGTTCTCCAGTGGCTCTGGGTGGCATGGGCTTCAAGGCTGAGTCTGGAGGTGTGGGGGGCAGGGGAAAGACTGAGGGCAGACCCCACTCCTCTGTCACCAGAGCAGCTGGACTCTAGTATGCTACATGATTTCCTGTGAGAAAAACATGGGGTTGCTAAAACGTTTCTATAAGCTGTGTGAACTCAAGAAGTTACTTTATTTCTTTGAGCCTCAGTTTTTAAAAAATTATTGCGAATGTATAACACATACAGAATGTATATATACATACAAGACTGTAGGGGCTGGGAGTGTAATTCAGTGGTACCTCACTTACCTAGCACATAAAAGGCTCTAGGTTCAATCACTAGCACAGGAAAAAAATTACACACACAAACACACACACACGCCCCATATTGCCCTCTCAGGTTAAGAAATAATAGCTGGAGGTTTATAAAGTAGCAAGAGGATGATGCCCAGCACTGTTCTAAGTGCTTTATGAAGTATATTGACTGCTGGATATAGTGGTCCATGCCTACAATCCCAGCTACCCAGGAGGTAGAGGCCGGAAGATTTGCAAATTCCAGCATAGGAAATTTAGCAAGACTTATCTAAAAAAAACAAAGCAGGGCACCGTGGTGCATGCTTCTAATGCCAGCATTCTAGAGGCTGAGGCAGGAGGATCATGAGATTTTTTGTTTTTGCTTTTGTTTTCTAGTTTCTTTAAGACAGGGTCTTGCTGTGTAGTTCAGGCTGGCCTCGAACTCATGGCGAGCCTCCTGCCTCAGCCTCCTGAGTGCTGGGATTACAGGTGTGCACCAACACACAAGCTAAGGAAGATCATGAGTTTGAGGCCAGCCTGGATTATAGAATGAGTTCAAGGCCAGCCAACTATACTACATAGTGAGGCCTTGTCTCCAAAAAACCCCCAAAAGGTAGATTGATTTATTTCTCACATCCATTTAATGAGATAGGTTCTGTTATCCCCATTTTCCAGATGAGGGAACTGAATGGCAGAGAGATTAAGGCACGCACCCAAGGACCTGGAGTGTCAAGCAGGGACATGACAGAGCCAGGAATCTCTGTCCCTACCAGGCTACTCTGGCCCTCCCCACTCCCCGTGCTACCCAATCCTGAACTGCCAAGTGTGTCTGAAGCTTGCGCCCCCTCCCTGGCCCCTAGAGAGAGCCATCAGGCTTTGTGTCCTGGGTGTCCCTTTTCCTGTGTGTGTCAATGCAGTGCAGAGCACAGGCTCAGCAGTGGCACTGCTCCTACTAAGATTACTGTGATCACTGTACCCAGGCCAAGGCACCCGGAGATGGATCTGGGCTGTGGGAAGAAGGGCAGGACGTTTAGGTCTGTTCTAGCTGAGAAGATACAGAGTGAGGCGGGGGGATGGTGACAAGCAGGGCTTGACCCTGGCTGCCTCCATGGGGAAGCTGAAGACCCCATCTCTGTCTCTCTCTGCCAGTTACTACCTTATCCTCAGCTGTGGGGACACTCCACCCCAGCCGGACAGCTGGAGGGGGTGGGGGCGGGGGCGGGGCTGCGCCCCCCCTCAATTCCATCCCCTCTGTCACTCCCCCACCCCCGGCCACCACCAACAGCACAAACCCCAGCCCTCAAGGCAGCCACTCAGCTATCGGCTTGTCGGGCCTGACCCCCAGCACGGGGTAAGTATGCAGTTACTGGTGGGAGGCTGTGGGGAGAAGCAGGGTCACTGTTGCTTCCAGGGTGGGGAGCTGCACCCCAGTCCTGCCACGGGTTCTCGCCCTGCTAACTCCTCTGCTTTGCTCTTGCAGAAGCACAATGGTAGGGTTGAGCTCCGGGCTGAGTCCAGCCCTCATGAGCAACAACCCTTTGGCCACTATCCAAGGTGCGTGCTGCCTCATGTCACTCCCATCGCCACCAGTCCTGCTCCCCTGGGGCCCCGAGCCCCCCATTGCTGCTCCAGCCACGCCATCCCGCCCCTGCTCACTGCATCGCTTGCCTCTTCATCCCCATCTTGCCTTTGGGGAAGGTGTGAGGGGTGCTGACGGGGGCACTGGGAAGGACCGGGAGATAGCTGGGGCGCTCCGGCAGGACCCCAGGAGGCGAAGGTCTCCCCTAGCCTGGCGTGCCCCCAGCCCAGCCTCTTTCTCTCCCCACCAGCCCTGGCCTCTGGTGGAACCCTGCCCCTTACCAGCCTTGATGGCAGCGGGAACCTGGTGCTGGGGGCAGCCAGCGCAGCCCCAGGGAGCCCCAGCCTGGTGACCTCGCCACTCTTCTTGAACCACGCCGGGCTGCCCCTGCTCAGCGCCCCCCCAGGCGTGGGCCTAGTCTCAGCAGCAGCTGCAGCCGTGGCAGCCTCCATCTCCAGCAAGTCTCCTGGCCTCTCCTCCTCATCCTCTTCATCCTCGTCCTCCTCCACTTGCAGCGAGGCAGCAGCACAGACCCCTGCAGGCCCAGGGGGGCCGGAGGCAGGGTCCAAGCCCGAGTGAGGACCCACCATGCCTCCCCTCCCACTCCTCTGACCCCCACCTTGGTTCCACGCCTGGGAAGAGGGCGAAGAGGCCACTGGTAGGGGTACAGCGGGTCCTTGGAGCAGGAGTAACAAGGGAGGAAAGACCAAAACTACCAACCAACCAAGCGGAAAAAAAAAAGAAAAGAAAGAAACTAACCAACAAAAAAGAAAACCAAAAATAATCACAACAGAAACCAGCTGCCCCAAAGGGACCAGAGGTGAAAAACAAACCAAAAAAACCAAAAACAAAAAAATTCCCCACAAAATCAAACCAAAAACCAGTTGCGAGCCAGACCTTAGAGTGCTCACCCTCACTGCTATGACACCAAATAAGAACCCCAGCCAGGCACAGAGCAGCCTCCTGCAGGTTGGACCTCATGCTGCTGAGCCCTGGCTGTGGGGTCAACCCCCAATCTTGCCCCTCCCAGTGAGGGTGGAGAAGAAAAAAGAGAATGTGCCAGCCTGCTGACTCCAGCTTCAGCCCTGGGCCAGTAGAGACAGGGCACAATCTAGGGCAGAGGGCCTGGGCCCAGAACCATCCACCAAATGTTCTTTTCCAGAAGGTGAAAGAGAAAGGGCCTGAACAACCTTACACCAAATATTCAGTAGCTTCATCCAAAGGATGTACAGAATTTTTAGCATTGTGCTTAACGGAATGTGTCCCTATCATGTGTCCCCACCCCCTTCCTTGACCCACAGCTCTCCCCACCTGGGCAGGAGGTCTTGCTTTAACCTCCTTCCTCCTCCCAGCCCGGGAAGAGTTCAGGAAAAGGCCTGGGGATGACTTTTTAACCCCTGTACCTCTCCCTTTTTCCTTTGAAGGGTGGGCTAGGCCATTTTGCCAAGTTCAGCTCCCACAAGTCCCTCCTCAACCCTGTCACCCTTTCTTGCTCTGGAATCTACCCCTTCCCCAGCCTATGGGAAGGTGGACATTTCAGGCAAAAGGAGATGAGGTGAGGACATTCAAGTTGTCTTTTTTTCCATCCTGTCTGTCAGTTTCCCTGAAAAAAATATTCATATTCCAGTGCCTATCCGTGGGATCCTTCACGTTCTTTGACATTAACCAGAAACCAAAAAGAAGACTCACCTCGCTCCACCCACCCTGTGCCCCTCTGACACTGGCAGATGCCTCTCCCTCCCCCACATGCACACACGCACGCACGCACCCCAGTGGTGGGTTCCTCCAGATGGCAACCCCATCAGGGTCCATGTGGTGGGGACAGTGCCATGACCTGTGGTCCCCATTCAATAGGGCGCTCTGGTGGCTACCATTCCCATGAGACCTCCATGAGTCTTGGCTGGACCCTGCATTTGCCTAGCCCTGGACACATCTCAACAATGGACAGAGAATCGCCGCTGGGAGCCACCTTGCCCTCCTGCTATTATGGAGGCCAACAAAGTTTTGAACCAAAAACAAACAAACAAACAAAACAGAAAACCAAACAAACAATAAATTAAAACTAGAAAAAAAAGAATTTATATATATATATATATATATATATATTTAAGGGAAAGAAGATGAGGACTCTTCAAGAATAAGAAGGAGCCGCGAGGTGGAGCCAAGCCCCTGCACCAGTGGTCCAGGCCCTTGGTCCCCAAGGCGGATGGAAGGAAGGATGCTTCTTTCTCTTCACAAATACCTCATGGACGTTGTCTTCGGGAAAGCCGGAGTGGGGGGCGGCTGGGGCAGGGCCTGTCCCTCAGCCAGGGTGGACGGAAGTGGGTGGGCGGGGCTGAGAGAGGGTGTCAGGGACAGGGATGAAGAGCCTCAAACTCCCCGCCCCCCCAATCAACTGAAAAAGCTTTAAAAAAAAAAGACAGGAAAAAAGGAAGAAAGCAAAAAGAATGGACAAAGGAAAACTAACAATTTTTGGGTGGTTTGATTCCTCCTTTGATTTCTTTTTCTGTTCTCTTCTGTCTCCTCCCCTCTCCTTTCTCTTCACTCTTCCTTCACTCTTCTCTCACCTCTCTCAATCTTGTTCTTTCTGTGTCTCTCCTCAAACCAAAGTGTTGCTGTGAAGGACGCGAGCCATTGAAATCAGAGTGGCCCCCGGCCCTGGCTGGGCAGGAGCAGAGGGAGGGGAGAGCCCGGCGACGGCCAGGGCAGCCTCCGTGCTTTCTGCTGGACACTCCGAGGAGAGGCAGACAGAGTCCCAGGCCTCAGCATTCTCTTTTCTTCTGGTCTCCCTTCTCCCACCCAGGAAACGAAACTATCAGGCTGGGCCACAGAGGCAGCAGAGACTCAGCCGTCGCAGGGGCCTCGGGTGCCTTGTCTGGGCAGTGATGGAGTGGCCGCCCCTCCCACCCCTGGCACCGATGGGGCCTGGCACCTCGTCAGCCCATCCTTGCTGGAATGTAAGCATCTCCACTGAACTGACTCCCTGCCCTCACCCTACCTCTGAGTTTGTCCATTTTGATTTCCTGAAAAGGGACTGGCAAGAGGGCCTGGGCCCCCACCCAAGGGTAGAAAGGAGGCCAAGGGCTCCTGACCAGATAGGAAGGACATTTGAGCAGAACAGAATGAAAGGAATTACAACCAAAAACCCCCTCCGAGAGGACAGGCAGCATGGAAGGCATGGTGGAGATGACTCAAATAAAAACTATGATGATTCTAGACCAAAAAAAAAAAAAAAAATGGAAAAAAAACAGGAAAGAAAAATCCAGGACTCACTACCACCCACTTCATCCTGCTTCCTCCCCATCTAGTCCCACCACCTGGGACCTTTCCCCACCCCAGTGGGAGTGGGGCAAAGAGAGGAGGAAGCAGAGCAGGGCTGGCGCAATGCCCTGACATTGGTGGAGGGACCCCTGTGCAGCTGGGGGTGATGGGGACCCTCCCCATCCAACCCCCAAAACTGGGAAAAGAAAAACAAGAAAAAAGAAAATCCCTGGGAGGGGGGAAAATAACCAAATCCCAAGCTTTAACTACAGCTGTGAAACCAAATATTGGGAAGGGGGTGGGAGGGAGGGAGGGGGAGGTGAGCCCCAGGTCTCCCCCCTGGGACCCCCTCCCCTGAGGACTCGAGATAAGGCACCAAATACCTCATAGAACTTTAATGTTAAAAAAGGAAACCAAATATCGTTGGCTGGGGGCCAGCCAGGGCAAGGGGCTGGGGCCTGGAAGAGCCAGGGTTGGGAAGGTGATGGGGGAATTCCTGCCCCCCACCCCCACCTATCCCTTCCACTCCAGACCCCCGTCTCGACTCCGGGAAACAAAACTATCTCATCGTTTTTATTTTGTGGTCTGTACAGAGCCTGTGTCCGTGTGTCTGTGTGTGAGCGAGTTGGAGGGCTGGGGAGCTTTAGGTGGGGATGGGGAGGAGACCCCAGGCCAGGCTCTGGGCTAGCTCAAGATGTCAGGTGGGGGGCCAGGGGCCTGGGCTAGAGAGAAGTCAGTGGACCAGGGCAAAAGGGAGCCCTGTGAATTTCCCTTCTCCCAACCCCTGACCTTCCGCTTAAAGGAGGGACAGAGACTGGGTCTATCCCAAGAGTGGGCCTTTTAGTTGTGCCAAAACAAAAAAAAGATGCCAGTAACTAAACCACCTCTCTGTTCTCTTCTTGGGGAGGGGCCAGGGTAGAGTCCTTGAAGTGGAAGGAAAGGGCTGGAAGTGTGTATGGGGCTGGGTAGTGACAGGGACCCCCAAGTCTTTTGAGAAGTTGGGGTTGAGATCAGAAAGGTATGAGTTTTCCACACATCTCCCTGGGAAAGGCCAAGAGCGCGTCTCTAGGCCCAGCACCCTGGGAAGATCTAGTGAGGCACTAGCCAAGTGGGGGGACTCTTGACTATTTTCTGTCACCCACCCCAGGGTGCCTCTCTCTTCCTCTAGCCCAGAGTGGGGGGTACTGAATGAGAGAGAATGAGACAGACTGAGCAAGATTGAGACACGCGGGCCCCCACCGGTCTCTGAGTGGGAAAGGCAAGTGAGAGAGATAAAGGCCTCCAAGAGAAAAAAGAAACAAACCAAAGATTTAACCATTAAAAAAAAAAAACCCACAGACAACTCCGCTACCTTTTTATACGTTGGAAAAAAAAAGTGAAAAAAAATTTAAAATAAAAATTTAAAAAAATACACAAAAACTCCAAGCCGCAGTTCCTTCATGCGGTTTAAACTTTGACCTCAGCAGTCTCCAAAGCAAGACGATGATGACAAAGGCGGAAATAAAAAGAAAAAATAATGTATATTTTTAAGTATTTGTCCTTGAGATGTTAGTTCCTTTGTAAACAAACAAACAAAGGAGAAAAAAAATCCAGAGAGAAGTGTTGCTGGGATGGAGACAACTATTTACTATGTCTGTGACCCCTCCCCTCTGCCTCCCTTCCCTCCTCCTTTCCTTTCCTCTATCCCCACTGCCCTTCCCTTAATCTGTCCCCCAAGCCCTGGGGCCCGGTATTTATTTATTTATATAATTGCAGGGTGACAGGTGCCTCTCTAGACAACTTGTAGAGGGCCTTTGGATCATGGTGGGGTGGGGAAACAGGTAGGGAGTCTTTAGGAAAAAGCAGGGGCCTGATCTTTGATCAGCTCCTCTAGTTCCTTTTTGGCTTCTTACCCCACTCCTGCCACCATCACCTCCCAAATCCAGGACTGCATTGGGGCAAGGTGACCACCCACCTTGTAAAGATCTGATTGGCTCAGCCCTTTCCAAGGTGGGTGCCTCTCATCTACTCACTTTGACCAGGTTGGAATGGGGTGGGGAGACTTAAGGGTGGCAAGTAGTGGGCAAGGGAGATGAGGAAGCGGCATCCACAAACTGAGTACGTCCTTGAGGACACCTGCCTTTCCTCTGTTCCCACCAGGTTAGCCTCCCCTTTCAGTTGTCTGACCCTTGTGTTGGTAGCCCCTCCTCTCCCATCCCGTACCCCCTTCCCTGTCTCTTCTCGTGGTAGCGGGTTAGCGTTTCAGTGTTCTTAACTCCAATCTGCTTGTTCATTGTACAATGTGCTTCTTTTAAGGCCCCATTTTTGTAACTTGAGTGTGTCATTCATCTGAACAACAAACATCAAAAAATAAAAAATTAAAAACTGTACAGGAAAAAATGATGCCTGCTTTCCTTTGGTCTCCAGACACTCTGTGGGAAAGACGGTGAGGAAATCAAGGTATGGGGTAGGGATATGTGAGCTGGAGATGGGAGAATCTTCTTTTACTTTTATTTTGGGGACCAGTGATCGAACTCAGGACCTTGCACTTATGAGGCCAGTGATGGCACCACTGAGCTAAATCCCTGGCCCGGGATGGGAGAATCTTGCTTGTGTTCAATAATAAATGTTTTGAAGGCTTGAACAATTTTTTTTTTTTCACCAATAAAAAAACTAAGTCTTGAACTTAGGATGAAATTCGAATTCCTGCATTCAAGTCTGAGTTTTGCCATCTTATATGATCTTTGTTATGTGAGTTTCATTCTTCCTAGCTGTATGACTGGGACATGGGGTTGGGAAAATTAAATGAGATGCTTTGAGTGTTTAGGATGGACTCATCTCCAGCACGCTGTCTTTAATGAAACTATGGGAAGTGGAGAAAACTAGCAAGTACTTTCCCACTTTCATCTTGGATGCTTCCCCAGAGAACTAAAAAGACCCTTTAAAACCAGATTTTGAGGCTGTCTAGTGGTACAATATATGCACTGCCACCCCTTCCTTTTTAGAGGTACATCAACTCTTACTCAAATTGTGCCCATCTTGAATAAATCATTGGCAGGAGTAACAACAGGCCAGGCCAGATCCCCATGTCACCACTGAAAATCAGAAATGGTCTTAACAGTCTGAGAAACCTATTGCTACTGTTTCATCCTTTTGAGATCCAGCAAACCCAAGTGAAGGCTAGAGGAACAGGGGAACAGGAAGAGTTGGGAGAGGGGTCTGATAATTTAGTAAGATAAGATAAAAAATATTAGCACTGCCTTGTTCTGGCAAGAGTAACACGCTCACAATGGGACCATAGTGTGTATGTCTCAAAGCTGGGTGGCTTGACCCACTGGTGATACATGCTTAACTATCCTGTCGGGCAGCTTATTAATTTTATTAGTAAAGTCCTCGCATGTGCACGTCATGAGTTTGATCCCTGGTACCAAAAAAACAAAAACAAATTTTATTAGTAAAGAGACCAATAAAAGTGATTAAATCCATTTGTACTACCAATGGCACAGGCCACCCAATGGGACAGTCATGCATGTACCACCGGTGGCTAAAGCCAGCAGGAACATGTTAAAAGAAAAAACAAGGACTTAGGATGTAGCTCAGTGGTAGAGCATATGCCTAACATGTATATAAGGCCCCAGGTTCCATTCCCAGCATAAAAAGAAAAAAAGCCCCTCTTCAACTTTTTTTTCTTTTCAACTCTTAAAGACAAATCAGCAGGGATGGAGTTTCAGAATAGTATGCCAACAGCGCACTCCTATAATCCCAGCACTCTAGGAGGATCACAAATTTGAGTCCAGTGTGGGCAATTTAACAATTTAGTGAGACTCTATCTCAAAATATACAAGCTGGGGATGGTGGCACACACCTGTAATTCAGAACTCAGGAGGCTAAGGCAAAGGGATTGCTGCGAGTTTGGGGCCAGCCTGGGCTACACAGTGAGTTCAAGGACAGCTTGAACTATGTGGCAAGATTCTGTATTTAAAAAAAAACAAAACAAAAAATCCTTCCCCAAATGAATATAAAAGTACAAGAGGGCTGGGGATATAGCTCAGCGGTGCAGCGCCTGCCTGGCAAGTGCGAGGCCCTGGGTTCGATTCCCGGTACCAAAAAAGAAGTGAAAATAAATAAATAAATAAAAGTACAAAAGGGCTGGAGATGTAGCTCAGTGTGAATGTTCTGGGTTCAATCTCCAGTATTAAAGAAAAATAAAAAAAGCATGGTGAAGATCTTTCCAGCCTCCAGTGTCCAGGGTGGTATAGTCAACCCTATATACCAGTGGTGATCAACCTATGACATGCGTGCCGCAGGTGTTTGTTATCATTCAAAGCTCTAGAAGGTTCACCATCACTGTTTTTTTTTTTTTTGGTACCGGAGATTGAACTCAGGTCCTTGTGCTTGCGCAGCAGCCAGTGAAACCACTAAGCTAAATCCCTGGCCCTGCCATCACTGCTATGGACCATCCTGTGACAGGGAGTTGGCACACTTGAGGGGTACCCTGGGAGCACTGCCTCAACTACATATCCACCTGTAACTATCGAATGTGTGCATTCTACATGTCCCACCTTCTACAAATACTCTTGGGCCTCCTCTTGTCAAAAATATATTCGGAGGGCCAGGGATTTAGCTCAGTGGTTCTGGTGCCGGCCTTGCAAGCACAAGGTCCCAAGTTTGATTCCCGGTACCAAAAAATAAACAAAAACAAAAACATATTGGGAAGTGGACATAGTGCCACACACCTGTAATCCCAGCACTCTGGGAGGCCGAGAAAAGAGAATTCCAAATTCCAGCCCAGCTTAAAGAGACCCTGTTTCAAAATAAAAGGGAAGGGGCTGGGGATTTAGCTCAGTGGTTCCACCACCTGCCTCACAAGTGCAAGATCCTGAGTTCAATCCCCAGGACCAAAAAAGAAAAAGAAAAAAGGGAGGTAGGGTGGTAGATGCAGCTCATTGTGAAGGCTCTGGGTTAAATCTCCAGTACTGCTTAAACAAAAAACCTGAACAAACCAAAATAAAACAATGAATTGGACACAAATGGAGCAGTGTTCTAGCCCCTATTTTGCTTTCACAAAACCCATTCATAATTTGCAGTGTACAAAATGCTGACTCCTGAATCTTATCCTAGATGTGTGGAATCCAAACCCCAGGGGAATTGCCCCCACCACATACACACTCACACTAAAGCTTGAGAACTTTTGCCTGTCCGCTTTGAACATCAGCATCCAACAAGTGATTAGTGCTTTTTTTTAGGACAAAGGTTCAACGACAGTCTGTGAAGTTTCAGTAGGGTAATAGGGAACAAGTCCCCTGAATTTATAAATGTGTTTGCACACTTAAAACTTTCCTCAGAGAAGTCTAAGCTTTTATTATAGAGTCCAAAACAGAACAATGGAGGGAGAGTTACTCCACCGCCACAGAGCTATTCTCTGCTGAAAGTACCTTTTATCTTGTGCCCAAACAGCATCCTAGTAGACAGCACCCTCTATTGTCCCTTTTCTTCATTCTGCCTGATTTTAATCTGGTTTTGCAGAGATAAATTTTTCAATTGTACTAAGCACTTATGTGACATGACTTTCAGGATATTACAGCTTTTTGAGAAGGGGCAGTTCAGGAATGTTTTTTTTCCTGGGAACCAGGGGATGGATTTGGCATGCTAGGCTACAATGGCTCAAGTGCTTCCTGCAGGGTATGTGGTTACTAAAGATGGTGTCCATGATCAACACACCCTGGTTGGAAACAAAATGCTCAATAAAGAACTAATCTTCATTAGGAGCTGCTAGAACACTAAATGCATAAAATGCTTTTTCTTTTTGAGATTAAAATAAGCATGTTGTTTAAAAGTTAGTAAAGAAGCAGTGGAGTTTGAAGAGCTGACTTCTAGTTCTGGTTCTATTGCCTGTGTGACCTTGGTAATTTTATTCCCTCTCTGACCTTTCTTATTTAAGCAACAGATTAAACCAATGGTTTTTCAAACGATGTCCTAGAGCATCTGTCCCCACAGAGGGCCAAAGACCTGAAGGAGGTGAAGGGGGTAGAGTAATAGGGAAGCTCAGCAGGCAGGTCTAGGTCTTTCCTTTCCCTGTGTCAATACCAAACTTCCCTTTTACCTCTCATGTACTGGGGTTCCAAGAGTTCTTTCCAATAGAAAGACCTTGAAAAATCTTGGGGAGTCTTAGAGGCAAGACTAGCAGAGCAACTGAGCCACCAGCCACAAGCTTCCCAATCTTGCTTCTACTGCCTTCCTCCAACTATGTCAAAGAAGCAGAGCAAAGAAAAAACCATACGGGTGGTTAAACTAAATGAAACCATGCTTAAATTTAAGCCCTTCTGTCTGTGGAGCTGACAAGGCAAGTCACCTCAATGCTTTTGACTTCAGATGCTTTCCCTGCAAAACGTTCTCTTCATGGGATAATGTAGTATTATTTAACATAATGTAAGAAAGTACTTGAGACACACTAAAAATTCAAACACTGGCCAGCCAGCCAGCCTAGCACTCCCTCTTCCCCAAAACAAAAATCTATTTGGCCCCGGGGATTTAGCTCAGTGGTTCTGCTGCCAGCCTTGCAAGTGCAAGGTCCCAGGTTTGATCGCCTGGTATGAAAAAACCCCGAAAACCCAACAAAAATCTATTGGCTATGCCAATGTCCAATTCCAACTGGCAGCGGCAGCAGGGGGTGGTGGTGGTGGAATGGGAGGGTGTTCAAGGAACCTCATGTTTCCTACCCCAGCTATACACACTATTCTCCGACTCCACTGCTGGGTCTGGCCCAGGAGCTACCCTCCTCTATTGCCCCAAAGATCATGCCTGACCTGTCAGCCTGGAGGGATCCAGTGAGAAAACCAGATGGCCTTAGGGAACAGGCCCACATCAGGACAGCAGTGGAGGACAAAGGTGATAAGAATCTCAGGAATGCTGGGCATGGTAGTACTTCATAGTGAGACTCTGTCTCAAAAAAACAAAAAACTCAAGATTTCTCTAAATGTTCCTGCTACATGCAAACAGCTTCAAGCTTGGGTGCAAGGACCTCTACTGGCAAGAAAGCCATACTGTCTATCTAGCACTACAAAGACATCCCCTTCTGAGAGCCATGCCCAGAGACTCTGCTGCCTTCTCTTCAACCCAGAGTTTACTGAGCTCCTACTACCCACTGGGCCTTGTTCTGGATGTTGGGAACACAGCCACAAGAACTCAGACCCAGTACCAGGTCCCATGACTCCCAAATTCCACTCTATACAACTGGGGCTGGCAAAAAGACATAAATGTTCAACTTAAGTCTTTATTGACTTCACTTAGGGGCCACCAGGTGGAAGAGGGGACACCTTTAAGCATAACAAGGATCCCACAGCATCCCCTTCTAAAAATAGAATATATCCAATTTTACAACTTACACGGCAGTAGGAGAGGAGGAGGAAGGGGCACAATATGTACAGAGGCTTAAGCAGATGTTAAAGGGAGAGGGCCTTCGGCAACAAGGTAAGGTTGCAGAAGAGGAAAATGGGGTAGTCAGCCACTGATCTGGACCCCATCAGCCTCAGCCAGAGGGTAGATCTCAATGGCTTCTACCAAAGGCAGTGCTTCCACTGCAGTCTCCATCACAGCCAGGCCAACAGCTGCTTCTGCCTCTGCCAGCTGCTGCTGCACAGCTGCCTGATGCTGCTGCTGGTGGGTTTTGCGATGCTTCCAGAGGTTAGAGAAGGAGCGGTAGCTCTTGCCACAGTCAGGGCAGGAGTAGGGCCGTTCACCAGTGTGGATCCGGCGATGCTCTGCCAGACGCATGGAGATAGCAAAGGCCTTGCCACACACTTCACAGGCAAAGGGCCGCTCACCTGTGTGCAGGCGCCGGTGATCTTTCAGGTGAGTACTTTGACGGAAGGCCTTACCACAGTCTGGACATGGGTATGGTCGCTCGCCTGTGTGGATGCGTCTGTGTACCTGCAATGACGTCTCTGTGCTGAACAGCTTCTTGCACTCACTGCACTCTAGGCCCCGGCGTCGAGCAGGAGCTGCAGGGGCTGTGGTGGCAGTGCCTCCAACGGCTGATGGGGAGGCAGTGACTGGTGTGCGAGTGGCCCTCGGGGCCCTAGGAGCTGGGGGCTCCTTAGCCAGGACCTCTCCAGGGCCAGCAGCTGCATGAGCTGCTTCGTGTGCCTGCAACCGTGCAGCTGAGCCCACTTTCTTGCCACAGGTCCCACACTCAAAGCGCTGTGGGGCTTGGGCAGCAGCTGCTGCACAGCGGTGCTCTCGAAGCCGTAGTGAAGAGGGGAAGGCAGCTCCACAGGATGGGCAGCGGTGGGGCTGGCGCCCAGCATGAGCCACAAGCTGGTGAACTTCCAGTAGCCGGCGCAGCAAGAAGGAGCGGGGGCACTCACGACACTTATAGGGATACTCACCTGTGTGGTGGTAGCGGTGCATGAGCAGGCGGTACGGGCGATGAAAACGCACCCCACATTCCTGGCAGCGGTAGGGGAAGTGCTGGGCATGCACCAGGCGGTGCTGCCTCAGTGTGGAGCTTTGTGTGAAAGCCTTGCCACAGTCCCCACATCGGTAGGGCCGTTCCCCTGTGTGTGTGAGTCGGTGACGAGCCAGGTTGGCAGGTGAATTGAAAGGCTTGGAGCAGTCAGGGCAGGGGAAGGGGCGCTCTCCTGTGTGGGTACGTAGATGGTTACGCACATGAGACTTCTTCTTGAACATCTTGCCACAAATGGTGCATTTATGGCGCCGCTCCAAGCGGTGCACAAAACGCTGGTGCCGGGTCAGCTGCAATGCTTTGCCAAATTCACGGCTGCACAAGAGGCAATGGTAGGTGCCAGAGGCAGCAGACTCTGCTGAGCTCTCCTCAGACACCGGGGGTTCTGGGGGCTCTGGTTCTCCAGTCTCTGCTGGGGCTGGCTCAGGAAAACTGATGACAGGCTCCTCTGGTGGGACAGGTGTTGTGGGCAGAGGGACACCCCCTGCTCCATGGGTACGCCGGTGATAAAGGAACTTGGTGAGGTTTACAAAGGTCTTTCCACATGGACAGGAATGCAGAGGATTTGGGGTGTGGGCGCGCCGGTGGGCCAGGAGGAGGGCCTCTGTACCAAAGGCCAAGCCACAGTCTACACACAGGAAGTGGGACTCGCTACTGTGGTCTCCAAGGTGCTGGTCCAGACTAGACGGGCTTGGAAAGACACGACTGCACAAAGGGCACTTAAAGACACCCTCCCGGTGACTCCGTAGGTGCTGCTGTAGCTGGTGGGGTGACAGAAAGAGCTGGTCACAGGCTGAGCAGGTCAGCTCCTGGGTGGCTGTCCCACCTGGCTCTCCACTGTTGTTCCTCCGCGCCCTGCGCCCACGGCGTTCTCTTCCGATGGCTTCACCATTTCGAAGTTCATAACTGTGGTCAGAGGCTGGCAGAGGGTCAGACTGAGACACAGGTATCTCTACAGGTGAGGGATTCAGAGTCCCTTGCTGTAAGGCAGGCTCCTCTGACTCTGGGGCAGGAGCAGGGAAGTGGGTAGCCTGATGCTCCAGGAAGTCAGCTGGCAGCTGGAAGAGCTGGGAACACTCCGAGCACTTATAGAGAAGCAGCTCCACCTCAGTCACTACTTCAGTGGTGGTGGCAGCTGCAGATGGGACAGCTGCCCCTTCCCCACCCTCTTCTGCCTTTCGGTAAGAGTGCTCCACAGCCACACGGGCCTGGCCAACAGGGGGACCTAGGACAACTGGAGACCCCAAGACCACTGGGGCAGGAGCCTTGGTAGGTGTGGTTCGGAGGTGGGTCTGCCGGTGGCTCAGCCAGAGCTCCTGACTGGCAAAGAGAGCCTTGCAATCCACACACTCATAATGGATGGTGCTGGAGCTCAAGAGGGGTGCTTTGGGTGGTGGCTCAGCTGGCACTGCCTCCTGGGGTGCCATCATTTTTAGGTGCAGCTCCTGGTGCTCCAGGAGCTGGCTGGGTGACATCAGCAGCTGCCCACACTCTAGGCACTGGTACTGACTCTCCTGTACTAAGGTCTGATAGAGGCCTGTGCCTGAAGCTGCCTCTGTGGCAACAGTAACACCAGGGTCAGCCACACCCACCAGCTCAAAGTGCTGCTGGGGCACATGGGAGTTCTGGTGCACAAGCACCTCCTCCAGGGATCCATACAGCTGGTTGCACTCAGAGCAGACATAACGGTGCTCAATGTACAAGACCGTCTCTTCTGACTCTTCAGTCATGGCAGCATCAAGGCCTACAAAAGGGCAGAGCAGGGACAAATCAGTTCTACAAGGGGCAGTTCTTTCCCCTACCTTCCAACATCTTACATATACTTCTTCCTTCACTGTGTTCCACTCCAACTCCCCACCCTAACAATCCCTTGTCCCTTGAACAAAAACATCAAACATGAAATCTTCCCCACACTCCCTCTACCCCAATCTCACCTCTCAATAACTCAAATCAAACATCACCCACCTAAGGGCTAGGGATTTAGCTCCGTGGTTCTGCCACCTGCCACACATGCGCAAGGTCCCAAGTTCGATCCCCAGTACCAAAAAAAAAAAAAAAAATCACCCACCTGATCCTGTCCACTTCCCTCATCTCTCATACCTCACAGTAGGTCCCCAAAGTTCTACCCCATACAGAGGACTGCCTTCTCCACTCAGAACTCAGACCTTCTTCCACTAACTCCTTACTAACTTCTCCCTATTCCCTCACCAAGGTGCCCAAGAGAGTTCACACATAGGCCTCTGCCAGTTGTTTCTCCCAGTCACACACTTCCCATAGCTTCTGGGTTTTTCTTCCAGGTTCTACTTATTTTTACACCCAGATCACTTGAACTTCCCCAACGCAATGCCACTTCATTTTTTTGGTTTTGTTTTCATTTTTGAGACAGGGTCTCACTATGTAGTCCAGGCTGGTCTCAAACTCACTGCAATCCAAAACAAAAACAAAAACACCTCTTTGCAATCTTTGCTTCTGCCTCTCAAGTGCTGCAATTACAGGCATGTGCCAACACACCTGGCTGCCAATTCACTTTTGACAAGACCCCTCTTCCTTTACACACAACCCCTGCAAACCAAACTCTCCCTCTGGTGCCCAGATTCTCCATATCAAACCAAGCCTTCCCCTAATCAAGTTTTCTCATATCAGCCTAACCCATCTCCACATTCAAATTTTTCCCATATTAACCACTTCCTAATGATACTCACATCCTCCTCTTGAAATTACCTAACCTTTTCAACAAATTAAGGCTCTTTCCAATAGCCAAGCCCCTTAGCCAGAATATCTAAATGCATCTTCACAAGAGCCTAATCCTTTCTTCATACCTAGACCTTTCCATAATCCTATGACATGTTTCCCGGGTACCCAGACACTCTTCATGTTAATCACTTCTCTGTACTAAGAGCAAATCTACAATTCTAATGTCTTCTGGGAACCTTCACATCTATTTAAATCCCTCGTCTCCTTTTCTTTCTTTCTTTTTTTTTTTTTTTTGAGACAGGGTCTCATTATGTAGTTTAAGGCTGGCCCCGAACTCGCTATGTAGCTCAGGCTGGCCTTGAACTCAAGTGATTCTCCTGCTTTTGCCTTGCCCTGAGATTATAGGCATGTGCCACCATGCCCAGATACTAAATCCCTCTTCTTCATACACAGCCATTCTATCTGGGAATGCCCAAATCTCTTATCAACGCAGACCCCTGTTTATGTAAAAGCCCATGGCAACCCTAACTCATTCCAGGGATTCCCACAGCCCCACTCCATCATCAGAAAGAGCCACTCCTTTACGAAAAGGTCCCCATACAGTAATTTAGTCTAGGAATATCCAGTCCACTCTTTACAATGACTTGAAACTCCCTTTTTACTACCCAGAATCCCTTCAGGGATACCCAGATCCCCCAAATTCATCTCATACAGACCCCTATCACCATTCTAACCCAGCAGACAGGTCTCTCTTTCCTTTACCCAAACTCCTCTCACCAGCCTGCTACTACGGGTGACCCAGACCCCTGACTCCTCTCATCCCAGAAATACCCAAACCATACCTCTCTAGCATAGATCTCTTTGGGATACCCAAATCCCATATTCACCTTGGCCTAGTTACCTGTACTTTAAAACAACAAAACAAAGCAACGACAACAACAAAACTACCTCCCTCCAGGTCATTTGCCTGACACAGAGACATTCTTTTCCCATGAACATAATCCTTTCTAGAGAGACGCTGCTCAACACTTCCAAAGGTTATCCAACCCTACTCCATTACCATTACTTTTGTTTAATGCCTCTTCACATTAATTTAACCCCGTTCTTCACACCTGGACCTCTCCCTTTAACTCTAATCTCCCTCTGAAGGATATCTGTTTCCTAATACCTTTTCACACCAAGACCCCTTTCACCGCCTTAATTCTTTCCAGGCATAATTAATTCCCCCTCCACGTTAACTTAATTACCTCTTTTCTTGCTCCCCGAACACCCACCCCACCGCACCCCCGACACCCAGAAGCCCTCTAGCCTCCTCGCTTCAGTCTTGGACTAGTCCTACTCAAGTCCTCTGCCCTTGTATCCCACGGCGCCTAGAAGCCTCCTCCTGAACAGCTATAAGGCCTTCTCGTCCCACCCAGGATCCCCCTACTCCCCGCCATTTCGCAGCCGGAGACCCGCCCCTCCGAGTCCTGCACTCGATCCTAGCCCACTTCCCACCCTCAGCCCTGCCCGGCCCCCCTCCGCGCGCCCCGCAGCCGTTGGTGCCGCTCCGCCCTTGCCGCCCGGCGCGCGTCCTCTTGGGCCCTCACTGCGCAAGCCAAGAGATTAGGGCAGGCCCCGGTGGCAGGGAAGGGGCCGAGCTGGTCCTCCGCGGGCCAGCTGGCACTTACTCGCCTCAGCCGTCTCGAACACTCCAGGCCCGGGCCGCGGCTATACTCGCACAGACACCTTAGCGCTGTGACCTCTCTAGCCCCCGCCTTCTCCTCTCGTCTGCTCCACCACCTAGCTCTCGCCCCCGGCCGCCCTCAACGACGCCCCTCCCACCTTCTCGGCCGCTGCACAGACGGCAAAAGGTGCCCAATCATAGCCCGTCTGGCACCTGCCGTTCGGCCAATCGACGCTCACATCTCTGAGGTTTGGGCCAATAGTGCAGAGGGCCGGGATCTCCCTCGGCCCCCAACCAATCCTCTATCGACGTTCCTTCACTGGCCAACCCTCAGGTTGATAGTGTCCGCCCCTCCAGCCCTGGAGGATGCTCCTCCTCCACCCTTTCTTCGACTCCGCCTCTGACGGCTCTAGAGAGGAGCACACGACGGAGGACAGCGCGATGACGTCAGGAAGCGGAACGAGGCTGTGGGCGCCATCTTGGGGGCCTCAGGCTGGAGTTGGCATCGGGGTTGGGTGGAAAGTGTTGGCAGTTGAGGCTTACGTTACCTCGACAGTAGGAGCAGGGGACTTGAACCTCTGGAACCCCCTGAGGACCTAAGGGAGAAAGTGAAACACCACCCAAAGTGAAGGAAGCGGGGGGGGGGGGGACGGGGACTGGTATCAATCACAGGAAGGGAGTAAACGTGAAAACCGAGATACCAGACTGATTTTATTAGAGGCGAAAAGAAGGCAAGAAGGAAGAGGAATGAAATACGGATCGGGGCTCAGGGAAGGGTTGGACACAGTGTGTTAGCAAATTGAGGACTCAGGGAACGAGGAAAACCTAAAGGATAGGGGAGGAAATGGGAAATGAGAAAGGAAAGGCAGTCAGGAGGTTTCGTTCAAGAAACCTGAGGAGAGGATCTGGAAACAATCCGAGTGAGAGGCTGAAGGAAGTGATCCCGTAGCAGGAGACAGTTTTGCTTCCTGTCACCTGTCAGAGTGACTGACCTTGCATAGCTCAGGGAGGATGGGGCCATGTGTGTCCAAGGGGCTTCGGGGCCAGCACTGTTAGAAAATTTTCAGAGAGGGCTAGGGTTGTGGCTGGGTAGAAGAGCTGAGCACTTGCCTAGCCCACGCAAGGCCCTAAGGCCCCGGTTTAGATACCAAAACCATCACCACTACATTTTTCAGAGAGCTACTCCCAGAACCCAAAGACAGAGGAGTTGAAAAAAATGTACTTGGTGAAATCTCTCCTCCTTATTCTCTCATTTCTCAGATGAGGAAATTTCAGAATTATTAATCCATCTGAAGGCAAAGAGGTACTTAAAAAGCCAGTCACTTTTGCTTTGTCCTTCGTTACTTTCTAACTGGATGTCCTAACTTTCACTAAACTCCCTAACACTAGATCCATGTGATTATACAAGACTGCCTGGCCTGGAGTCCTGGCCCTTTCACTTCCTAGCTGTGACCTTGAGCAAGCCAATTCCCCTTTGCCTCCGTTTCCTCATCTATGAAATGGGGTAATATAACAGCCACTGTCTCAAAGGGTGGTTACGAGGCATGGAGCAATGGCTATGTATTTTCATTAATGTCTCAAGGAGCCTAATATTAATAGCTGACATTTTCTGAGTATGTTATGATATGCTAGAAATTATGCTCAGTGCTTTGTACGCATTATTTAGTTTAATCCTCTCAACAACCCTCTGAGGAAAAAATTATTATCCTGCGTTTACAAAGAAACTGAGGCCCAGAGAAGTTAAGTAACTTGTCCAAGTGCCTATAATTAGGAAGAGACAGAGCCAGGATTCCAAGCCAGGGTTGATCCCACCCAGGGTCTGCACTCTTGGCCCCTAGGCTCCTTTGCCTGGCAGGCAGGATGGTCTCTAGTTCCTTGCTGAATGGATGCACGGCAAGCACAGCAAGAAGTTGGTGGAAATTAATGGGCTCTTAAAGCTAGGGCCTGCGTGCACTCAAGCAGTCTGGGTTTGCCCTTAAGGCAATGACACTGAGTGTGGGAGGCAAAGAAGTGGAAACTGAGCTTAGCCTTGAACTGGTTCTATGCACTTGGGCAGCTTTTTGCTCCTGTTGAGGCCTCCTTTTCCCTACTTGAAAAATCAGAGGGACAAGTTTAGCTTCTCAGGCCCCTTTCCACTAGATTAGAACCTTCTGCTTGGACTTCCCAATTTATTTGAGTTGGTGAGATCTTTTCTCTTCAGATAATACAGGAGTAAGTAAAGTGAGACCTGGCCAGACATGTTGGGGTTTGTAACAGTGGACTAGGACTTCTGGGATAGGTTGCAGTTAGAGAGGATAGGTGTTCTATGTTAGCGTCCCTGCATAAGCAAAGGCCTAGAGTTGGATGGACATAAGTCTGGGCCTGAGGCCTGGCTAGAGCTGTAGGAGGTGCTAGGAGGATGTAGGTGTTCCCCAAGTCGGTGAGGAGGTAGTGTGTGCAAAGTTAGTGGTCCTTTAAGGTCAGATGTATGTATCACATGTATGATGGGGATGGACCACATGCCAGCTGCAGAGGGCTCCCTGTGCCAGGGCCTGTGTGTGGTCTTAGATTTGCCATGTGCCAGGTGTGTGTGCAAGGCATGTGGTCACGTGTGCTGGGGGCTGCACGTGAGTGTGTCAGTGTCTCCTCCCCATCACGAGCATGGGGGTGGTGATGAGTCACGGGCTCAGCCTTCAGCACCAACTGTCATGTTCCTTTCCCCCAAACTTCACCCCCCCATCCAGCCATGCACCACCCACCCCCATTACAAGATCTGTGTTGAGATTTTCTCTTCCATCCCCCTGCCCCGCTCCTCTCTTCAGGCAGCAGAATGTTTTCTGGGAGGGAGGGACTTTCCAGCTTTGGCCTTTCCTTCAGGTCCCTACCCTTCCATTGACCCCCTTTCCCACAGCGTCTCTGCTCTGGTTACTCTGGTTACTGGCGAATGAAGCCCTCTTCTTCTCACACATCCCTGTGTGTCCCAAGGATTTCTCTATGCAGTATGGAGAATTCCCATATTTGCCACCCTTCCCCTGTACGGGTGCTATTTCTGTTTCTGGGTGCTTTTCCCTCATCTCCATGGGCCAGCCACTCCTGCCTCAATGGGTCTCCTGTTTCTGTGAGTCACATCTTGTCTCTGTGGGCCCCGGATGTCCATGGGTCTCCCCTTGCCCCATTTGTTTCTGTGACCTCCTCCAGATCTCTTGGCCCTTTCTCCCTGCTTCTCTGGTCTGCCTTCCTGTTGCTCTTCTCCGGACAGCTCCCCATGCCCAAGGAGCGCTTTGTGTTAGTGTGGGCCTCTCTTGTGTCTGGCCTGTCCCCATCTCAGGAGCCTCTCTGTCCACAAGCTGGCCCCTGTCTCTCTTTGCTTGTCTCCGTGGGCCTTTCTTATCCCTGGGCTTTTCCCTGTCCTTGTCCTTGTGGAGTTTGTGGGGCTTGGCCCACCTCCCTGGGTCTTGATGTCTGTCTTTCTATTTCCCTGCATTTTTCTTCATCTCTGTAACCCTCTCTCCCCATCTCCACGGCTGTGTCCCCAGGTCTCCTCACTGCCTCTCATCTCCGTGGGCTCCTGTGCCCAGGGCTGCCTGGGCAGGGCGGTGGCATGGTGTGGTGGAGGGGGTGGCCCGGGGGTGGGCCCTCCGTCCAATGCAGCTCCTTCCTCTCATCAGCATTCTCCTCGCGCCCCCCCCCCCCCCCCCTACCAACCGACCAATACGGGCTACCCCTCCCCCGACTCCCCTCCCTCCTTGCTCTCTGCTCTCTGCCTGCCTCGCTCCCTTCCTCCTGCCCGCCCTCCTCCCTGTCTCCCCCCCCCCGCCCCCCAGCGCGCTCCAGGACCCAGCGCGGGCGGCGGGCGGCGGGCGGCGGGTGGGCAGGCGGCGGCCTCTGTAGGGAGAAGGAGCGGTGGTGGCAGCGGTGGCGGCGGCCGGCAGCGGGCAGGCAGGCCCATCTGGGGACACGGAGCCTGCAGGGCTGCTGCTCACAGGGGACAGGAGTCGGTGGCTTGGCCCTCCCTCCGAGGCCCTCTGAGGGCCGCCCCCGGACACCCCACCCTCCTCCGTCTTCCTCTTCCACCTGCTCCTCTCCATCTCCCTCCGCCCTCCTCTTCCTCCTCTCCCTCTCTCCACCTCGTCTGCCCCCTTCTCGGCCTCTCTGGGGCTGCCAGTGCCCCATCCTCCCCATCCGATCCACTGTCTGGCCTCTCCCTGTCCCCAGCATGCTTTTCCCTTTGGGGCTGAGGGCTTGAGGACTCCAGTCCCTAGCCTCATCCAGGGTAGGGCTAAGGCTCTGGGGGGAGGGGGGGAACGGGGTGACCCCCTCCCCCCCAAGAAGCCCTCCCCTCCCCCACTTCTCCCGATGGCCACCTTCCTCTTCTCCACCCAGCGCTCGCCCCCAGTGGCCCCCCCAGGCCGGCCTGGCTAGGGGAGGGGGCGGGGGCCCTTTCCCGGGCCGGCTTCCCCCTCCCCCGGCTTTGCCTGTGCCCCCTCCCTTCCGTTTTCACCTTCTTCTCCTCCTTTCCTCCCTCCTTCCCCTCCATTTGCTCCTTCCCCCTCTCCTCTCTCCCCTTCTCTCCTCCATTTTCTCCTTTCCCCTTCCTCCCCTCCCGGCCGGCCCTCTCCTTTTCCACCTGTCCTTCCTCCGGGCTCCTGGGGAGCCACCGTTTTGGATTAGTTGGGGGCCACTGCCGGCGGCGGGGGAGGGGGCCCGTGAACTGCCCTCTCCCCCTGCCCCAGCCACACCATCACCCAGAGCCAGAGGATCTCCCGGTTGTCGGTTGTTGTCGTTCCTCGGGCCTCGAGGGAGCCCAGCCCTCTGTCCCACCAGGATCCGTGAGTGTCTGCAG